GTGTTTACTACGTACGAGATACAAGGTTTTTCCCAACTATTTCCTCATGAAACGTTCACACCTACAGCAAAGTTGAAGGAATTGTACAGCGGACACGCACGGTTGCCACGTTATTCCCACCAACGATACCCACCATTTACATTCTTGTCACATTTGCATCCATCTGTTAGTCCATCTTTTATTTTCTATGCATTTGAAAGTTGCAGACATCAGTATACTACCACTAAACACTTCACCCTGCATGCCATTCGGATTCTTTCTTTATATCTTTAAATACAGTGAAATGCACAAAACTTAAATGTTCATTTGCTGAGTTTTGACCATTTTTTACGGTCATGCAGCCCACACTCCTATCACAATATAGAACATTTCCACCACCCCAGAATGTTCCGTCTGCCTTTTCCCAGTTGCACCTTCCAAAACCTGCTGGGACACAGCCCAGACCACTTCACTTGGCATCCAAGGCCGTTCATACACACATCCCAGTCTTCTCTTCACACAGAGCTGCTCATTCCTTCCATCCCCTCCTCACCACCCCCTGGCTTCCCTGCCTCTGGGCCTTTGCACGTGCAATCTCTGCTGTCTACAAAACCCTCTTCAGATTCTAAGGGTCAAAAGGTCAACAGCTGTAGGAAGCTTCCCCCAGCCCCTACACTTCCTCTGGCCCATCCAGAGACCCCTGGGGCCCGTAGTGAGGTGTTCTTTCTCCAGCGAACCAGCCATGTGCCCCACTCCTAGGCCAGCACAGGCATAGATGCCAGTGTAACAAATGAACAAGTGAATGAATGAATGAACTCATCTCTTGCTCTCCAATGGACTGAGTGCTCCCTGGTTGCTTCCCAACCCACAGCCCCAACCCAGGCCCTACCTCCATGTTTAATCAATGCCACCTCCTCCCTGCGCTAACCCTGCCCGTCTGCTAATTCTGAGAGGCAGGGAAACATTTCTCTCTCCACCAAGGCCTGCTTTCAAGTCAAACCGGGAATAAATGTGCTTCACCCCCGACTCCCCAAGGAGACGCCTCCTCCTTCCTCCCTGGAGGCAGTGGGGGCTCTGAAGCCAGGCGTCTTTGCTATAGGTCCTGCCAAGCTCGGCCGATGTCACCCCTCACTTCTTCTGTGCCGCTGGGCCAACCCCGCCTTGGAACTCAGTTTCCCCATCTGCAGTGCGTGCATTGATGAAAACATTAAGAGCACAGGCTCTGGAGCTGGCTGCTGGGCTTGACTTCTGCTGCCGGTTCTTGCTGTTTCCTTGGTTGTAAGATGGTGATTGGAACCAGCCTGACCTGCAAAGCTCTGGGAACAGGGTCTTGCACACAGCTGGGCTCAGCGAGTGGCATTTGCATCCTTACCATCCTGGGTCCCACATGGCAGCAAGTCTGGAGGGCCATGAGGGCATGAGGAAGTAGCTTCAGCCCAGACCACCTCATTACCTCCTGTGCGGGCTGGAGGGGTTCCTGGAATGGGAAATAGGGACTCCAAGAGTCACACACTCCTGCGTTCCCACACCCACCAGCCCTTTCAGCCTCAACAGTCACTCTCCCCGGCCTCCGTTGGGCCACCTGCAAAAGGGGCATAATCACACCTTCCCAGGAGGGTTTTGAGAATTACATCAGAAATGCGTGGAATGTCCCTAGAGCGTGGAATGTCCCTGGAGCCTCGGATTTCCGTAAACAGCAGCCCCCTTTAGTTTCCCTTGATGAAAGCAAACACTGAGTAGGGGTAAGTTTTGCCCGGCCTGCTAGGAGCATAAACTTGTGACAATGACTTTCCTTCTCTGTGCCTCAGTCTGCACCCCTGTAAAATGGGGAAACTAGAAAGGACATTTCAAAACGATGCTACTCATCTGAGTAACTCAGCTCCTGGGTCTTCCCTATTTAAAGTCTTTGTGGTTCCCCACTGCCTGGCACTTAGTGTGATAAAAATGCTTGTGATACAAATATATTACCGTTTTCAATGGAATACAATGCAAAGAGGGCAACTGTTCCTTTCCCCACTCGTAAGAGGGCAGAAGCAATGCACACTATAGACTGTAGAGTGCGGTGCACACATGAATGTGGTGCCAGTCACCCAAGGCTCTGTGCCATTCTCAGTCCTCAGGCCAACCTGTCCCCTGGGTCCTTCCTGGCGGCCTTGAGAGGATTAGGGCAGCCCTGGCGCCGGGGAGATCACTTGGGCTTAGCTTCCAAAAGGCACCTTTGTCTGGAGCAGGAAGGACATAGTGGGGGACGGCTGGAAGGACACCCAGATTCCCTGGGAAGTGACTCACCCCCAAGGTACACAGGGGCGGGAGAGTCACACTGGGCTGCTGAGATTAGAAAACAGATCCAGACCCACCACCAACCCTCCACTCAGCCCCTGCCCCCCTGCCAAGAACTCTCAGCCCTCCAGGGCTGCAAGGGGCTTCCTTCAGTCTTGCTTGATTCCTCACCGTAAGGGCGGAGTTCAGAGACTGGGGTCCAGAGGCAGGGGTGGGTACTAGGTTCAAACCTTGACCTTGTCATTACCTAGCTGTGGGGCCTTGCGCATATCACTTAACTTCTCTATGTCTCAGTTTCCTCAACTGTATAATGAAGGTGAAGACAGTTCCTAGAAAGCAGGGCTGATTCAAGAAGCTGATGACATGACGTACCTAAAGCACTTAGAACAGCGTCTGGCACTTAGTAAGCGTGCAATAAATACAGCAAGAACTTTCCAGCATAGCAGTGAAAGCGCAGACTTTGGAATTCGAGTCAGAGGGGTCTGGTTCAAATCCTGCTTCTGCCACTTAGAAGCTGGCTGATTCCATTTCTCTGAGCTTCAGTTTCCTTATATGTAGAACAGTGTGATAATACCCACCCATCCTGGGGGCTGTGAAGTTCAGTGCACTAAGGAATGTTAAGCACCCGACCTAGCGACCAGCACACAGTAAGCGCTCATCAGAGGTCAACTGCTCTCACATCTGCTCTCTGCAGCTACAGGACTCACCATGATGAAGCAGACACTGTCCCTGACCTTGAGGAGCTCTTGGGCAAGTGGCAGAGTGAGACTGAGGCAGCGCCCAGTGTGGCCCATACAGTACCGGGCCCTGCCGCCACATGGGGAGGGGCTGTCCTGTGTATGAAGGATGGCACGGGTTTGCCAGGTACATTTGGAGGAGAGGGAATGTTCCAGGAAGAGGGAAGAGCCGTGCAAAGGCCTGGCTGCACCTTGTTACTTGTTTTCCAGGTGCCAGGCACTCTTCTCAGAGCTTTACAAGGATTGTCTGGTTTCATCCCCAGATGACCCGTGAGTGAGTACTATAACAGTCCCACTTTGCAGATGAGGAGCCCGAGGCACAGAGACAGCTCTGCTCCCTCTGCATGCTCCAGGAGGAATCAGCTGAGGTCAGGTCACAGGCAGCCTTAAATGCCAAGCCTCGGAGCTTGGAGACTTTCCTGTTGGCACCAGGAATCCAGCCACTGCAGGGCTGTCAGTAACAGTGAGAGATGGTCAGAGGAGGTCAAGGATGGGCAGGACGGGAATGGGATGGAAGAGAGGAGGGTGGGAGTCAGGGAAGGGTGTTCCTTGTGAGAGATGAGGAGGGACAGCTGGAGCTGTGCATGGAGAGGAGACAGAATAATGCAACTGTAACAAGAGCTAACGGGAACTGGGGGCTTCTTATGGATGGGTCACCATCCTGAGTGCTGGTTTAATCCTCAAAGCCATAATAGAACATCCTCAAGTTACTGATGAAGAAACTGAGGCTCAAGGAGATGAAATGACTTGCCTGAAGCCACATGGCTAACCAGAAGCCAGGTTGGGATTTGAACATGGGCAGCTAACTCAAGCCATTGATTTAACCATGATGGGAATCAGTAGCACTGGAAGTGTCTGGAAATCAGACACAGGAAGATAAACCCGAGCATGTCACCCGGCACTGGCATGTAGCAGGCACCAATAAATGTAGGGTGGATGAATGAAAAGCAACGAGGAGAAAAGGGAAAGAGGAAGGAAAGGAGGAAGGGAAGGAAGGAAGAAGGGAGGAAGACGGATGGATGGCTGGATGGATGGATGGCTGGATGGATGGATGGACGGATGGATGGATGGATGGATGGACGGACGGATGGATGGCTAACTGGTCGGCTGAATGAATGAGTGGTGGACAAACCTTCAGATGAGCTCCAAGTCTACCCTGCCTATCACCTAGCCTCAAATCCTCTGAGCCAGTGATCGAAACTTGGTTGGCACTTCTTCACTCAGGCCATCCATAAGTGCCAACTTGGGGGCATTTTTTACCAAAGGGGCCCATCTTGAGCAGTGGGAAGAAGCCTAGGACCTAGAGGCAGGACCCTTATTCTCTCATCCCAACTCTGCTGTGTGTGGGTCCGGGCTAGCCAAGCCCTGCTCTGGCTTCAGTCTCCCCATCTGCACCAAGGGCGTTTGGCACAGCTCGTCTGATGTGCAGCCAGTAGGGACCCCCTACTCCGACAGACCACAAGGCAAGAACAAGTCTCACTCATCCTTGCTTCCTGGGGTGCTAGTGCCTCTTCTCCCTGGAAAGCTCCTATTCTCCCTTCAAAATTCAGCTCAGATGTCACTCCTGATAAGCATCCCAAAGTCAGAAACAGAGAAAAACACAGACTCAGAGAGAGAGAGAGAGAGAGAGAGAGAGAAAGGTAAAAGTATTTAGAAAGAGAGAGAGAGAAAGGTAAAAGTATTTAGAAAGAGAGAGAGAGATGGAGGTGGGAGGGAAGGGACAGAGAGGAAGGCAGAACAGGACACAGAGGCTGTCCAGGCCAACAAGGTCAGTTAGGGACTCAAAGCTACAATGTCAAGGCCCTGAGTCCCCTCACCTCCCAGAAGCTCCTACCTGGAGCTAAGGAGGGCACTGGAGGCAAAGGCCAAGGCAAGTCCTGTGTGACTGGGGAATAAACCAGCCAGGAGATACCGAGATAGAGGAGTCATTTATTGAAAGCTCAGGGCTTGCTACTGAGGTCCCAGAGCTCTCTCTGAGGCAATTCTATGATTACCCAGGCAGTTTCCACCTCAAACTTGGAGTAGTGCTGCAGGGCCAGAGGGCAATTTTACTGTCACCAACACCAGCTAGAGACTGGGAGGGAAATTGAAACAGAGTGGACAGGTGGTCTCTAGTAGTCAACAGGGAGGGCTGGTGGCCATGTCTCAGCCTCAGGATGGCACGGTCAGCACAACAGCATTCTGTAAGGAAGAACCACTTTTGGTTACGCCCCTGAGTCTCTGCAATGCCCCATCCCTGCAGCCATCTTTACCCCCCTGCCCTGGGATTGGTGCTGTACCTGGAACACAGCAGGCACTCATTAAATGAATAAATTAATGATGAACAAATGACATCCAGTGTGGGACAGGCTCTGACTTGAGGACTTAATAGACTCAAGTTCAAGTGCCATTTCTGCTATTAATTTACTGTGTGATCTTGGGCCAGAAATCTGACCTAGTTCAGCCTTGGTCCTCATCTGAGAAATGGGTACAGAACGCTCTGCTCTGCTCCCCTCCTAGAGCTATTCCACCACCCAGAGTTGTGCTGGTTTGAAAAGGATTGTGAGGCCATATCAATATTCCACAAGAAAAAATGTCATGATCCATTGGTCATATCTGCTGCAGACACAAGATAAGGGAGAGACAGCATATGTATTTGTTGCTGTTGGACCAGGGGAACTGTGATTCTGTGAGTAAATCTTAGGTTCCATTCTAGAGGCCAGACATGTGTCTGAATCCAATGGGAAAGAACTCCATGATTGATTGATGATGCCTGCCATGGGCAAGTAATGGAGGAGTGGTAGCACACACGTCATATATTTGCCATTCCTAAGTTAGGTAATTTGTAACTCACTGAGAAATTTAGAAAATGGGTCAGGGACAGACAAGAGGATGAAGCAAAGCATTCCCCTCATGAGTTTCAAGTAGGGCTTTCCAGAGACAAGCTTAAGGCCCATCTGCACCATATCTGCAGAGAAGACTCACCTCTATGATCTCCAGAACTGAACTGGAAAAACTGATGTTAAGAACCTTAGGCAGGGGAATTCCAACATCCAGGGCCACTGTGAAGAGAGAATCGTTGAAAACAAAGGTATGTTGGTGGGGAGGTCTTGGACTCTAGGGACCCTCGGACCCTGCTGACCCTATTCCATCACTTTCACTAGCCAGCCAGTTCTCTTCTCAGGGAATCAGCTTCTTATTGGCAAACTCCTACTTATCCTCCTACACCCAAACAAAAATGTCCCTATTCTGTATTGTGTCAGTGGTGCCCCTGTATCCAGCCTCCTAAAGGCTTCATCAATCCCTTACACACTCTGGGTCATCTATATTCTAATCATTTGTTTATATGATTATTTCCTACGAGACTGTGGGAGCTTAAGGCAGGACTGAGGTCAGATCAGCTCTTGAAGCCCATAGGCTGGCATGATGTAGGTGCTAATCAATGTTATTGAAATGGAAAAATTGGTGCCTCAGTATCTGCATCTTGCAAATGAGGACCGACCTCTCTCTGGCCTCAGTGCCCCCATCAGAACCATAAAGAGAGGCAACAGACTAGACAATCCCATATTTGGACACTCCATGTGTCCAAGAGAGCAAAAGCTGCCATACCGTTAAGCTTTGGTGCATACACTACCCGGACCACATGACTGAGCCATTCTTCTAAACGCGATTCCTGCAACAGAACACACAGGGTGGTGCAGGTGGTGCTCTGGGGTGTGGCTTTGCAGGCAGCAGCACCCCCTTCCCAGAGAGAGAAACCCAGGGACCCAGCCGCCTCAGCCTCCCCCAAGCCTGAGGCCACAGCTCCTGGCAGGCACAGGGCACTTGGGGGTGGCCTGGGCTGTCCACCAGTGATCCCGAAAGAGATTCTGTGATTTAGGCTGGCTTTACCCCAGACCCCATGAGCTTGGAAGAAGTGCTTTCCTGTAAGAGTCTGTGGGGCCTGGAGATGGGCAGTGCCTAGGAAAGAGGGAAGGAAGTGTGCCCAGCTCCAGTCTGTGGGGTCTGACCTTAGATTCCTGTCAGTTTAGGGACTCTGAGAATGTTCTAGAAACTGAGCCCATGGTGAAATTCCAGAACCTCAGAACTCTGTAAGAAGCAGGAACCTCGGGGCTCTGTGACTTCTGAAATGGAACTTTCTGAGTTTGGGAAACTTATTACTTGGGTGAAGTTCCAGAATGATGGACCCTTGTGAGGTTCTAGATGTCCACAACTTTGTGAGGTTCCAAGACCGTGGAAGATCATGAGATTCACTTTCCTAAGATGATCACTGTTTCTCTCTCTCTCTCTCTCTTCCCACTGCCCCCACTGCCCCCCACTCTCTCTCTCTCTCCCCACTGCCCCCACCCCCCCAACACACCCACACACGCCCTGATATTTGCCCACTCTGGCTTATTGGGGCAGAGCCCAATCCTGAGGTCAGCTCAGCCATACGGCCCATGACTCACGGCCACCCCCTTTCCACACCACACCTGAAGACTCTCAAGATCACACAGTAAATTAATAGCAGAAATGGCACTTGAACTTGAGTCCACCTCCAAGCCCCTCACCCTCCCAGGAACTTACGTCAAAGGCATAGGTAAAGGAGGAGGCCACCTTGACACTGAGCCTGGTGGAGAGAAGAGAGATGCTGGGGCCCCCGCTACTCCCAACCACCCCTGTCCCACCCCCAGCCTGCCCCACCATAGCTCTCAGGATCAGGAAACAGGGTTACAGGCCCAACACTCTCCCTCTATCCAGCCTTGACTTGGAGATTCAGTTTTCCTACCTGTAAAATGGACCCAAAGGGACCTAACCTCCCTTCTGAGGCATCATGACCACCACCTCTGGCCTTGGCGCCTTTGCCTGACTCCCGGCTATTTGACCCTGGGCAGATGGCTGAACCCTTCAGAAGAGTGGCCCTCCCCCAGACTGAGCACTGGACACAGAGTGCCTTGCATACAGCAGGTGCCCACTCAAGGCAGCAACTCACTGATGGATCATATCTGGCCCAAGTGCAGATTCAGGGCCATCTCTACTTCCTAAAAGGCGGACGCGTGAACTAGTATCAGGAAGTGGAGGTGCACCCAGGCAGCAGGCAAGGCCCTCCGTCAAAGTCGGCAATGGGGCAACAATGGAAGGCGGGGGCAGCAGTAGCCTGTTGTGGGGGCGCTAAGATGGAGTCAGAGGAGCAATGGGTGCCTGTGACACAGGACACCAGGTCTCAGCAATCTCCAGGAAAGTCCCTATTGCCAGGGGAGGGACAGACAGGCCGGGGCCCCACCGTGGTGACATCACCGAGGCCCAGACTGCAGACCTGCTCTAGGGACAGCCTGCTGTGTGAGCCTGGGCCAGCACAGTGCTTTGCAAACTATAAAGTACTGTGCATGTAGATGGTGCTTTGCAAACTGTAAAGTACTGTGCATGTAGATGAAGGACCATCATCTTGGTCATTATGATTATCATGATGGATGCCTAGTTACCACGAGGCTGAGGAGAGTAGAGAAGTAAGAAGTCCACATGAATAACAACGCACTTCCTGACACTCAAGGCCGGTTGTCTCTTGGTTAGCCTCTGGGGCTGATAACTCAGGAGTTTGGACTCCACATCCCAGCAGCAGCTTTATCTCCCAGAGGCAGGTGTTCAGCAGCAAGGGGTGCCGTGGAAGAAGCCCACTCGAGCCTGCTGCTCTGAGCCCCCGATTCCTTGTCTATAACATGGACTGACACTGTCTCCTCCCTGGCAGGTGCTGAAGGCAAGGAGGATGCTGGGAAAACACCTGGAACTTTGTTGATGCCCAAGAAATGGGAGGTGGATCCTGCCAGCCCCTAATTCTTGTTCCTAAAGACAAGAGCAACATCCTGTCCCCAGGGTCCCACGTTACCGTTCCAGGCACAGGGAGATGTGCAGCTTGGTAGCCGAAGGAGTCAGCTGGGCACGCAGAGTCATGACCTGCATGGGCAAAGCAGGCAGAGGTCACCCGCAATCGGCAGAAGGAGCTTGAAGACAGGTCTGCCTCCATCCATCTGTTCGGTCTACTAACCTTACTGAGGCCCTACTGTGTGTCAGGGTCCGTGCTGAGCTCTGAGGAGGTAATTTGAAGGTTTTGCTGTTCTCTTGAACAGCAGAGAACCACAGTATTAAAATTGAGGGCAATTGGTATTGTAGGAGAGGAAGCTCTGGGGCTGCAGGGGCTTGGAGAGCCCCTCAAGTACGCCTGCTGTGCGGTGAGGGAAGGCCTCTCCAGTGAGGTAGCAGCTGAATCATGAAAGATGAAGAGCTAGTGGAGGGAAGGGGGAAATGGCACTCCCGGTGGTGGACCCAGCACAGACAAACCAGAGGCGGAGGACCTGGTAGACTTGAGTAGCTGAGGCTTAGGGGGCAAGGATGGGCAAGGCGAGGATGGGACAGGAGGACAATGAATGTCAGGCTCAGGTGTTTGGCCATGGGGAGCCAGGGCAGACAGTCCCGGGAGGGGCCTGCCTCCGTCCAGATGTGTGCAGAGGTGGGGTGGAGGAAGCCGACTGGAGCGGGAGGGTCAGGGGAAGCTGGAGCATCATCAGGGAGATAGCTGGGCAGAGAGAGGCTGGGGAGATGGGGAGCAATGCCTGAGACCCCCAAGAAGCAGTGTGGGCGGCCCGAACAGGCCCAGGCAGACATGACGGGAGGGAGCAGGCAGGAACTGAGGCAGGGTCTTGGGGCTCAGCCCAGATGATGACAATGGCTGTTGGGGGGCTTCCTGTGCTGGGTTATGTGGGACTCCCACCCTGAAATCAGGGGGGCGGCACCTCCACAGTCCTGGAGACGGTCAGCCCCATTCGGAACCCCAATGCCAGACCCCCACCTACCCCTTGACCACTCACCGAGTTCAGCTCCAAGAGGGATTCAGGGGTCCCCTGAGGGACATAGGACAGCACATGGATGTTGGCTGGGAGGGAGACCAAGGCCTTCTTGTTGTTGAGTGTGACTGTGGGAGCTTCCTTCACGCGCAGGGACAGCAGGAGGTGCTGGTGCAGGGGCAACTTCCCCAGGGCCTAGAGAAATGCAGGGGCAGAACTCAGATGCCCCAGGACTACAGTCAGTCAGTCAGTCAGCAAACACTCACTGAGCACCTACCAGGCACCAGGCAACGTGCTGGGCAATGAGGTTGCAGCCTGAACAACACAGGCCTGGTCTCAGCCCCCACGAGGCTACACTCAGGGGTGGAGACACCAACCTGCGGGACTGCCACATCAGACTTCCGGTCTCACGCAGAGTCAGAATCCTCGCTGAGGCCACAGGCTCTGTGTCCTCCATCCCCCCTCCCCGCCTCTCCACTTCACCTGCTCCCCTCCCTGCATTCTCCCTCTAGACTCACTGGCCACGTGGCTGCTCCTCCAGCTGCCAGGGATGTTCCCGGCAGGCCCCAGGGCCTTTGCACTTGCTGCTCCCTCTGCCTGGAAATATCTTCCCAGAGAACTGCAAAGTTCCCTCACTCAAGTGTTACCTCCTCAGCGAGGCCTTGCTGGTGGTGTCTAAAAGCACCAGCCAGCACTCCTAAGCCACCTTCACCACTCCATGCCTTCCACCTTCTGACACTGTTTCTGTTTTTGTTTATTTGTGCACTGTCTGTCACCTCCAGCAGAATGGCAACCCCTCAAGCGCAGAAGCTTTTGTCTCCTTTCACTGTTTGCCCTCTGTGCAGCCCCAGCTGCAGGTATGCCCGTGTTCCATGGCAGGGCCTGTCACACAGTAGGTGCTCAGCGGATATTCGCTGACTGCCTAAATGAGTCACACGATCAGGAAATTCTGGGTCTCATGATTGCAACGTCATGAAACTAAGGAAATTACAAAACCACAGAAGCTTAGAACACATAATTACGTCCCTTGGGACGCTTACCTGCTGCAATTTGAGTCTAGGCTTCCTCAAGCCCAGAATCCCCAAGTGGCAGGATCATCAGGACCAGGAATGGCCTCATTCCACCCTCACATGCCACAGAATCTGAAGCCACATGGGGCTCTGAAGCTGCAAGGCCAGCAAATGGAGGCCAAAGGATTCAGCCTCCAGAGACTAGCCCTCCCCTGGAGGGGCAGGCCCCACTTGCTACATCTGGATACCCCTGCTTCAGTCATCTCTGCCTGCCCCATGTCCCTCTCCACTCCTGCCATCTGTAGGTTCTTCTGAATGTCTGACTCCAATTGCATCCCTTCCGTGAGGCTCCTATGCCCTTTAGCCAGGGGACTCTGGAAAGCCGAGGCCCCCACCTCATTCATCCAGACTGCTTTGAATCACCACCTTCAAGGACTCAGAGTTTGTCCTCTGTACCCCCAAAACCAGCTTCCATTTCCATCCTCTCTGGTGACAGCCCAGGCCCCCAGGCCTCTTTCCAACCTGTTTCAGAATCTGCTGTTATATAAGGACCTTGTAGTAGACATTTTAACTTCAGTACGAATTCCAGTTCTCACAGCTGGAAAGCGGCTGGTCCAGCCCCAACTGAAGGATGGGAAAGCTGAGGCCAGACCTTGAAGTCATGTACTCATGTCCACTAGGGAGACCCACCTGACCCTCTCCCTTTTCTTTCCTCTCCAAGACCAGTGCCCTGAGTCTTTTTTCTGGGGACATTGAAGACTAAGGTCAGGATGAAGTAAGCCAATTGGAGGAAGGGAGCTCAGTAACCTGAAAAGAATTTTGCCCTTGTGTGCTACAGAAACAATTTCCATAGGATAAATGCCCAGTTGATTTCTGGGGCAGTCAAACACTAATCTTTTACTCTCTAAGCAAAATCTGCTATCAGGAAAGGATGCTGTGTTAGTCATTCACAATTTAGTGTGAATTTGGACTCAATTGTTCAATTGCAGTTGCCTGGAGAGTTGTATTGAGAAAGATTCTGGAGCCCATTCATGGTCATCAGGAAAAAGCTACAATGATCAAAACCCATGAGAGGGTCACTCACCTCAGGGAGCAAAGCTGCCAGGTCTGTAGTCGTCAGTGGAACATCGCTAGGAACCTGGACCCCCAATGGGAGAGAAAGTTGGTGAACACAGAGACAGAACAGGAATCCCTCGGCACACACAGAGCAGTTTTGTTCACCACTCTTCCCCCTACCCTGTCAATTTCATACACATATCACTACAAACACTCAAGTTTGTTCTAACAGCTAGCAATTATTGAGCACTTACTGCATGCTAGGCAGATGCTAGGGGCTCTGCATGCCTTTGCGCATTTCACCTTTACAACAGCTCAAAGAGGTGAGTGCTGCCATTGCCCCCATTTAACAGATGGAGACACTGAGGCTCTTCACACAATTGGTAAGTGGTGACACCAGGATTTGAACACAGGCAGGCTAACTTCAGAACCTTTTACTCACTCTGCCAGGGCTCATGATCTAAAGACCCAGAGATCTGACCCCAGATCTTTTTGCCTTTTACCCAAATAGTATTTTCAAAAACTATGAATTCGTCTCTAGTATTTATAAATCAGGAAGTTGTATGTAAAATTTTCAGTTTCTGGCTAAAGAGTTGGAAAATCTGGTCACGCTGAACCTGTACCCCCTCCCCTTACGTCAGCTGAGAAATGGGGCACAGGGCCCCCAGTTCACTACAGTCCCATCAGGCTGCTAACTGATGATGGCCCAGCCTCCGGGGGCCCTGATGTTTGAGACTCCCCCGCCCTGAACTACACATGCCCACTTCTCACAACAACCCTGTTCACACAGGATAAGCATACACGCAGCACCAGGACGAGGCCTCTGACATTCCTCTCTCTTGCCATGATGCTCATATGCACACACCCAATGCTTCTATACACACACCCACGTCCGCAGGCCGCTCAGACAGGCACGTTCTTACACTCAGAGTCTCTGCCTGGCTATGACTGCCCCCATCCCCCAACTAGAAGACACCTTCCCCGCAGCTCAGGGTCCTGTTCCAGCCTCCCAGAGGCCTTCAGAGTGCTGTCTGGACCCCACTTGCAAGAAGTGAGTGACCAACCCCTGCTTCCTTGGGCCTGAGCTACAAGTGGGGAGCCCAGGCTGAGACCAAAATAAATGCCTCTGGGTGGGGCCTCTGGGGTCTGGGCTTTCCAGGATGTGAGAGGGGCCAGAATGGACAGAATGGAAGTTGGGAGGTACTAGAAGCTACAGAACAAAAGTTCAGGTAACTCTTGGTACAATCCAACCCGAGTTTCCTTCCTTCCTTCCTTCCTTCCTTCCTTCCTTCCTTCCTTCCTTCCTTCCTTCCTTTCTCTTTCTTTTCTCTTTCTTTCTTTCTTTCTTTCTTTCTTTCTCTCTTTTTTCTCTTCCTTTCTTTCCTTCCTTCCTTTTTCTTTCTTCCTTTCTTCCTTTTTCTTCTTTCTTTCTTTTTTTCTCTTCCTTCCTTTCTTTCTTCCTTTCTTCCTTCCTTCCTTTTTTTCTTTCCTTCTTTCTTTCTTTCTTCTTTCTCTCTTTCTTTCTTTCTTTCTTCTTTTTTTTTTCTGAGACAAGGTCTCATTCTGTGACCCAGACTGGAATGCAGTGGCACAAGCACAGCTCACTTCAGCCTTGACCTCCCAGGCTCACGTGATCCTCCCGCCTCAGCCTCGCAAGTAACTGGGACCACAGGCATGCACCACCGTGCCTGGCTAATATTTGTATTTTGTGTAGAGATGGGGTGTCTCCTGGGCTCAAGTGATCCTCCCCCCATCAGCCTCCGGAAGTGCTGGGATTACAGGCATGAGCCACCCTGCCTAGTTTTCTTTTCTTCCACTCAAATCTGCTCTTGGCCCACTCAAATCTGCTCTTGAGAAAGCAGTGGAAATGTTAGTGGTTCACACTTTAGTGCTTAGACTGTAGAAAGGCTCATCTGATACAGGGACGGAAAGTGGGCTTCATTCCATATGCCAGTCCTGACCAATTGAAAGTGACCTCCTGGAGTGCCAAGTTGAGAAGGATTCAGAGGTCCCAGTCACGTTTAACCAGGTAGAGGACCACGATTGATTAGCAACGTCTCCCTTAAGTACAGGAGTGGACAACAGCAGTGTACACACTCTAAACGTGTTCAACTCCCTTTTATTATAGAGAAGAGGGCTCAGCAGGGCTGATCAGCGCGTAGGTCAGCACTAGCAATGCCAAGGCACAGCAGGGCAGGGACCCCCCATCCCATCCCCCAGGCACCACACTCACCAGCTCAGGGGTGATGTCCATGTCGAGGGCACCGTTGGTCTGCAGGAGTCCAAACATGGTGTTGAAGAGGTACAGTGGCACTGTCACCTGGGATGTGTGGTCCTCCTTGGGGGGCACCTTGGCTGGGGCAGGGGACTTGGGGAAGTCAATGATGTCACCAGCTACACTCTTCACGATAGGCTGCAGGGGCAGGAAACAGGGCCGAGGAGGGTCTTGAGGTGCTCACCCACCCGCCTGAACCCGACATCCCCTATCTAGCCTCCCCCAGCAGCAGGAGAGGCCCCTCTGGTTACTCACGTTGATGTCCAGTTCTATGTACTGGTTGGAGATGAGAGGCAGTGTGGCCAGAGAGAATTCCAGGGACCCAAGAGCCCCAAGGGGCACCAAGCCTGCATGGGAAAGGGAGGGGTGAGAACGACCCCATAAGCCCGATTCCCAATCCTAATAGCCCCTATTTCCATTTACTGATGTCTGCTGAGTGCCTAGCACTCTGCTAAGCATTCACTTGGCCGCGACTTCATCCCCATTTTACAGATGTGGAAATTGAGGTTCAGACAGGGGAAGTCACCAGGCCAAGGCCACACAGTCACAGCATTCAAAACCAGGATTCCTGTTTTCCAGAGTTGGTGCCACTAACACACTGCCACCCTGCCTGTCTTACATAACACCACCTACAGAGACATACCGGCCCCAAGTTTTCTATTCTTTTCCTGGTTGTGCCTTTTTATATTTTCCCAAACCCATTTTATGAACACCGAAGGCACTAGTGTCTCCATGAGGCACAGAGGGACTGGGGTCTGCTGGGGCTGCGGGGCCTTGGGTTCCTTACTTGAGCTCTCTGGGCCTCGGTCATCTAGTCTGATCAGGTAGTCATCATATCTTCCCCCTGTTTCTGACAGTGCCAAGCACACACTAGGTGCTCAATAAATGTTGGTCTGCAGCACCCAACATAGAGCGAACCGATGGTTCTGGGTCTGCAGTCCCTGCTAGGCGGCCTCAGCCCAGGCCTCCTCCATGAGGCTCCTCAAAGGGGCAGCCTGTCAGTGTGAGGAGGAACTGAAGGACCCCGAGATCCTGCCCCTTTCGGCTCCCCTTAGTACCCTACCCCATTGGGGTCGTACAGAGAGGGGTAGAAGGGGCAAAGAGGAGGGCGTTGCGCCCTAACTTACCCAGCACAGTCCCCAGGAGCTCATTCACCACGCCCAGCACACTGTCCACCACGGGGCACAGCTGTGTCAGAGAGACGGATGTTACAGGGCGAAGAAGAGCTCGCTGCGAGGACAGCTGCATGTTCTTTAAATGCTTTGCTATCTGGTGCTACGTGGTGCTGGGGACCAAGGCAGAAGGCAGAGACAGACAGGAGACACACAGGTGGGAGGCAGGGGAGGGGCTGGAGCTTGAGGTGTCAGAGGGTCGAGTGGGCCCCCAAGCTGTCTTTCCTTGGTTACAAGAGCCCCATTAGAAAACCCCCAAAGGTGACTGGGGGACCATGGGAGACACATTTCAGAGGCTGGTTTGGGCATGCGGACAAGGCCTTCACCTGAGGAGGCAAAAGTGGCTTTGGTTCCCCATAAAGTCACAGGCCATCCCCTGCCATCCTAGGTGGGCACTGGGAAGCCTAGGATCAAGACCCCACAGCGGGGCACCTCCTCGCCTCCACCCAGAGAGTCAGGCCTGGATCTGGGGTTGTCCATCCAGCATATCACCACGTGTTCATTCCTAAGCCCTGTGCTAGGAGAACAGGGAGCAAGCGGTTTGACTTTCAGAATCCGAGTCTGGGAATCACAGAGCCTGAGTCCCATAGCCCACTGGAGTAGGAGCCTCAGAGAGGACCATTCCAGCCCTTCATCCTCCAGCTGAGGCCAGAGAAGAAGGTGACCTGTCCAAGGTCACAGCTGTTTTCAGAGAAACAAAAGAGGGCTGTTGCATGTCAAGTGGGGGCCCCAAACTCCAGAACTTCTGAGGTCAGGCAAGTCACAGAAATGAGAGGAGACGAGAGGGACTCTGCTGGGTGTGGAGAAAGCAAACCCTCTGGGCACCAGACGGGAGGAACCAGAGGTACTTCCCACTTACAGGAGGGAGGTATTCGGCACCGATTGCACAATAGAAGCCACAAATCTGGACTGTTACGAGAAATCTTCAATGCTAAATGTGGGCAATGAATGCTCATTTTCAAAACCTCTTTGTGTCACACAAAACCTAGCTGCTGGCCAACTGCCCCAGAGACTAAGTTAGGGGCTGCAATTGAAATTCACCCTCACGCCCTGGGGGAAACCTGCCTGACATGGTCCTGCCTAGGGGCCCCTCCTCCTGCTAAGCTTCTTTTCCAAACTGGCTTCCTCAAGCCCAGAGCAGTTTTGCCAACCCTAGGCTCCCATTCCTCTGCCGCCCCCACCGGCGTTCACAAGTTACGCACAGGGAGAGCCAGCCAGGCAGTGGGGCCAGGAGGCCTGACTGCCCTTTGCTGTGTATGTGGCCCTCCCCTCTCCCTCGGTGATATGGGGCTTGGGCCAGACCAGCTCTCTCGGGTGTGGAAACCAGGATGGTCTGGGGCAGGCCATGGACAGACATCCTTTAATCTTCATATGTTTATATATGATGTATGAATATAGGTACATGTTTTTCTAGACATGATTGCCAAACACAGGGCTCAGTTTAAAACCATCAAGTGATTCAATTTGCATTTCAAGCTAATTTAAAGGAAAACATAAAGTAAGTACTAATACAAATGGCAGAAACAGAGCAGGGGGTAAGAAGGAGCCTCCGATTTGGGAGCAGGGGACCCAGGCCACCTGGAGCCACACACTCGGGCTTGAGGATCTGAAAGGATCATGTCATCCACCCCCAGACTAGCAGGCGCGCCAGGAAGGCCGGTCAGCAGGCCCGGATGGGATTACCTGGTGGGTGTGGAAGGGAAGTACAGCCTAATCCCGCCTGGCACCCAACTTTACCCAAAACTGGGGGAGAAAGAGGCCCAGTCCAGGGAGAGGGCATGCTGGCCCATGGCCCCCACACTCACCAGTCCCGGAAGCACCTTGAAAAGCATCTGTTCCACGACTCCAAAGAGTGGCGTGGGCAGCAGTCTGAGCAGAGGGAGACACGTGTGGGTGCGGCTGCCAGGTGGACGGTTCCGCCTGGATGACACAGTCGGGGGGACACTAGGGGCTCTGGATTTCTCCTGTCTCTTCTCTTGGGGATGGGGTTGGCTGAGGCTTTGGAGACCTGAGTTAAATCCTGGCTCCACCTCCCCAGGGGACCCAGGGAATGGCTTCATTTTCCCCAACTGTACAGTGCCCACCTTAGAGAGTTGCTGCTGCCTGGGTTATGGGAGTGTGTATGTGGCTGGTGTACAGTCTGTGCTTGACAAATGTCTGTCTCCTTTGTCCCTCTAATATTTGTAAACAAGAGACACTCAGGCCTAGGACAATGATTGCTATTGAGCTCCCGGAGTGGGGGTTCAACAAGTATTTGTTAGATTAATAAATGAATGAATGAATGACGCCTGAGGATAAGTGCATGTAGATGGGCTCAGGTCTGTTTGGAGACCATGGGGGTGCAGGGTGGCAACCACAGAGCCCCACCCACAGGACACCAACACTGTCCTGGGCTCCACTCCTCCCCAGGCCCCCTCTATCCCGGAGGAGCAGGACAGAACCACTGGAATTTAAGGAGCCCAAAGCCCTTGCCTGGAATCCCATTCTTAGGGCCCTTGTGGAGACAGGAGCAAGCTGTTAGCTAACGCAGAACTGCCTGATGACCCCTCACTGCTCAGAGTTACCCAACAAAGATGGGGCAGGAGCTGGGATTGGGCCTGGAAGGTGGACACAGAACAGTAGACACAAGTGGGAGGCAGCTGTGGCCTGGCTCAGAGTGCTGACAGAGGCCTTGGACCCAGCCAGAGAGCAGTCCCTCTCCACCCCCGCCAGATCTGTGTGTGTGATCCTGGGCAAGGAGACCTCTGGGCCTCCATGGTCCCATGAAAGTGATGATTCAGAGGCCAGGCATGGTGGCTCACACCTGTAATCCCAGCACTTTGTGAGGCCAACGCGGGCGGATCACTTGAGGTCAGGAGTTCAAGACCAGCCTGGCCAACATAGTGAAACCCTGTCTCTATTAAAAATACAAAAATTAGCATGGTGGTGGGCGCCCGTAATCCCAGCTACTCAGGAGGCTGAGGCAGAAGATAGCATGAAACCCGGGAGGCACAAGGTTGCAGTGAGCTGAGATGCACCCACTGCACTCCACCCCGGGTGACAGAGTGAGACTCTTTCTCAAAAAAAAAAAAAAAATTGTGATGATTCACAAGTGTGTACGGAGGGCCACCTGATTCAACAGGTGTAGGGAGGGCCACCTGCGCAGGCCCTGGAAGAGATGATGTCATAGCACCTTCCGAACCATCAAATCCAGCTCCACATATACGATGGACATGAAGGCCAGAATGGGGGGGGGGAGATGGGGGACGTGGTTGCTCCGGAAGTCACAGCAGCAAGTCAGAGGCAGAGTTGGGCCCTCCATGTGCTGAGAGCAGGGGTTGAAATCCCGCAGATGGAGGGGATCCCAGCAGACCTGGGCCGGTTCTGGAGGAGAGGGGACGGCAGGATCCGGTGAACCAGGAATAGGGGAATGCCCAGGAGTGGTGGCCGCAACGCTATGGATTAAGCCGAAGTCCCTGTCGGTGGGTGGACTCATCTGTCGGTCTGTGGAGCGGGTGAAACCGGTGGGCGGGCAGGCAGGGGTAGGATGAGTTCAGGTCCACGCAGCGGCAGCTCAGGAGAGCCGGGAGACGCCAGATGAGTGCCGAGATGATCCAGCGGCGTCGGGGTCTGCAAGGTGCTGGAGCCTGCAGACTGTGGAACCTGCAGACTCAACCCGAGAAACCAGGCCTGATGTGGGCCCAGGAGCGTGCTGCAGCAGCTTGAGATAAGCGGAGGCATGCCCCCGCGAGCCGACACCCAGTGCACCCGGACGTCACGTTTCACCTCGGCAGGCCAGCTGCAAGAAGGGCCCCTAAAAGGGGCGGCCTGCAAGAAAGGACGCCTGGGCGGCTTGGCCACGGCAGCCAACGCCAACCCTTGGTCCGCCCACCGGGGTCGGGCTGGGCTGAGCAGAGCGGGTTGAGGGTGGCCCTCGCCAGTGCCACTAGCTACCGGCATCCCCCTCTCAGCCTCTGCCCATCCCGAGCCCCACTTTTGCACTCCCTGCGCCCTCTTGACCCCACCCTTCGTCCGGTGAGCTGCCTGGGCAGTGGGTTGGCGTCTGGAGGAAGAGGGAAATGGAAGTCCCTGGGGAAGGGCAATGGCATAGGATCCAGGGGGGAAACAGTAGGATTGAGAGTCCCTTGGGGAGGAAATAGGGTGAAAGGAAATGGGGGATACAGGGGGATGGAGTTGGGGGACAGCAGAGTAGGAGTCTCCAACAGGGCAGGGGGTGGAAGCAGGATAGTAGAGGTCCCCAGGACACACTCACCCAGAGCAATGCATGCCCACTTTGGTGTGCAGGTTCAGCTGCACCCCAAACCCCGGCAGCAGCTTCAGCGACTCCTTCGGCAGCGTGAGCTCCTCAATCTTCAGACTGGAATGGGAGTCAGGGAGAGGGCTGCCCACTCCCAGACACCCTCCAGTGCCTCCACCATCCCAGACCAGGCGGCACCCAGAGTGGCTCTTGGTGGTGTTCCCTATCTCACCTCAAACCCACAGAGCCAGCTGTGAGCCCTTGGCCCATCACTTAATCTCTCTGGGCCTTAGTCTTCTTATCTGTAAAGTGGGGCGATACTAGTTCCTACCTCGTAGATGTGTTGCAAAGACAAGTGAGATAATTCGAGTGCAGAACCTGGTACAGTGTGTGCTCAACAAATGTCCTATCATCATCACCACTGGAGGCTCGAGGAATTAAAGCTTTTCCCCACTCCATCCCCACAGTCTCAGCCCTGGTTTGGTTTCTGGCCTTGACATTGCGCCCCACTATACCCCCACACACTCACAAATGCAACCCACCTGGGTTCTGAGACACGGCCCCTCACAAGTCATTACTCTCTGTCTTCCGGGTCTTTGCCCAGGCTGTTCCCTCTGTCTGGAACACCCTTCCCTTGACCCTCCTTCCACTCTGCATCCCTCTTCAGCTTGCTGACTCCTCCCAGTTCACATGCACTCCTCCAGGAAGCCTTCCACCCTGGTTTTCTGCCTCAGGCAGATGCCCTCTGAGCACCTGTCCCACCCTGCCTGGGCTGCCTCCATCACTGCCCTGAGCCCATGGGATCTTCACTGTCAGACTCCACCACCTATGAGAAGCTCTTCAAGGCATGAACAATGCCAGGTTCATGTCTGAGACTCCAGCCTCACTGAGAGGGCAGATTTCACAGGGGAGGGAGAGTGAATATTGTATCAATAATAATAATAATAATAATAATAATATCTATCCAGCACTTACTGTGTGCCCAGCTCTCTTTCAGCTGCTTGGCACAGATTGACTCACTGTCCTGGCAACCACCCCATGAGTAGCTGCTAATACTGCAGCCAGTAAAAGGCAGATGGTTCAAACCCCAGCTCTGCCACTAGCTGACTGGATGGGCTTGGGTGAGTCACAGTGCTGCTGTGCCTCAGTTTCCCCATCTGTAAAATGGGGACATTGACAACACCTACCACAGAATGACACACAGCAAACCTCAAGCAACATCAGCATTTACCAGCCCGCTTTCCGGACATTATGTTCCGTTTAGGGAAGTGAACACCCATCCGCTCCCAGCACCCCATTGCCTCCTGTCCAGTGACTCTTCTCCATACGCTGGGCTTCAGCCTTGCCTGGGCCCTGTCGTTTGACCGTCCTCTAATTCGCCCACCAGCCACAGACTGGTTTCCACTGGACTTGACCAGGCAGTGTGGGCTGCGATGAAACACACAGACACATTCCCCTCTCCTCCCCTAGCTGGGTGAGCTTGGGCAGGTCACTTCACTGCCGGGAGCCTCTTATCTCCTCAGTTGTTAAATGCAGTTCATAATAGTCCTACCTTTGGGCTCAGTGAGATGATTCATTTACAATGCACAGTGCTAGACACACAGAAAAGCCTGAATAGGTGGTCATTGAGTTAGCACATGTTAGGTATAATGTGATGCTCTTCATTCATTCATTCAAAAACACTTTTTGAGCCTGGGCACAGTGGCTCACACCTGTAATCCCAGCACTTTGGGAGGCCGAGGCGGGCAGATCATCTGAAGTCAGGAGTTCAAGACCACCCTAGCCTACATGGTGTAACTCCATCTCTACTAAAACCACAAAAATTACCCAGTCATGGTGGTGGGCGCCTGTAATCCCCGCTACTCGGGAGGCTGAGGCAGGAGAATCACTTGAACCTGGGAAGCGGAGGTTGCAGTGAGCCAAGATCACGCCACTGCACTCCAGCCTGGGCAACAAAGCAAGACTCTGTCTCAAAAAAAAACAAAAAACTTTTTGAGCATCCACTGTGTCCCTATTTATGATCCCGGGGACACAGTGGCGAACAAGTCAGACAAAAATCCTACCCCTCCTATAATCTAGCAAAGGAGACATAAAACAAACCTGTAAAATGTATGGTGGGGATAAGAAAGGGCTAATCAGTGCAGACCTTTTTTGAGCGGACATCTGGAGGAGGTGAGAAAGGGAGCCATGCAGATAGCTAGATTAGCCCAGAGAGACTAAGCAACTTGCCCAAGGTCACACAGTGAGTAACTAGTGTTGACCTAGAGCTGGAACCCTCAACCACAGTGGCCTTCTGCTGTTCTTGTCCTGCCAGGCATGCAGTAGAGTCATCATTTTTAGACCTGGATCACGACCCTCCCACACCACCCTCACTGCCTATCAGACAAAATAAAAAGAGTCAATCAATCTCTCCTCAATTCCCGGAAACAAAGCCAAGTCTTCCTGTAGCGCATGCAGCAGGTGGGACTCACCCAGAGAGCTCCTCCACAACGCCAAAAACCCCTCCGTGGCCCAGCAAGCCGCCTCCTCCAAGCAGCCCTCCTGAGCCCAGGAGGCCCTGGTTCACGGCTGTAACCGATCCCAGCACATTCTGCAGAATGGGCCCCCCAACCAGTGAGTTCTGGATGGCTGCAGAGAGAGTGGAAGTAGGAAGGTACTAGAAACTGCAACCTCACCCCCAGGACCATGGCAGCTGCCTCCTTCCTCTGAGATTGAGTAGGCTTCTTTTTTAAAACGGAATTAACCCAGCGGTTACACTCAACTGGTGGAACCCACTAAGCCATAACAGCCTCTTACTCCCGCTACAGGGCCTGTGGCCACCCTCCCTGCCTGGCACATGGGAGGTATCCAGTAAGTGTTTGGAGAATGAATGAGCAAATCTCATGACAATCCCTTCATTTTACCAGTAGGGAAACTAAGGCTCAGAGAAGGGCAGAGACTTGCCCAAAGTCACACAGCAAATTGGGTTGGGGTCAATAGTGTAACTTGGGCTCCTGATCCTGGACTGCCCTGCCCTGCAGCACTGTAAGGGAGGGCAAAGAAGGGGGAGCTTGTAGCCACCAGGGCTCAATTGAGCTGGAGGAGATGGTCCCTGCTCCTCTCTTGGGCACTCCAGGCCTGACTCAGTGCAGATTGTGGGAAGGGCAGGATGGAGGAACAGCCCTGTAGAAGTAGGGGCAGGCCAAGGGCCTCCCTGAAGCATTTCCTGCTCATGACCCATCTACTCCATCCCTGAGACTGTCACCACGGGCCACTGGGCTCTGTAGTACCAAATGCCAAGTACAGTTCCTCTACCCTAGTAATGTGAGGCAGACACTGGCCCAGCTAGCGCCCTCCTCTCGACCTCCTCAACCTCACCCTGACCCTGTCCCTGAGCCACACGCAGTCCCCACACAGCCTCAGCTCATATCACCCAGTCCACCTCCCAGAAGAGGGAATTCATCACCCATTCCAGCCTGCAAGGGAAACGTTCACTCCTGCACAGCTACTCCCAGGAGAATGTGCTCTCTAAGCAGCTGGGAATCACAGCCTGCTCTTATCTGCTCTTAAAACAGATGCTCTAAGCACATAGATTGAGTCGTTGACATTGCCGCAGCCCCCTCACAGACTGTCCACCTGGGGCTCACCTTTGCCGAGTTCATCCTTGTCAATCCGAGCAAGCGTGCCCACCGTCTCTAGCAGCCCCTGGCATGGAGTCGCCAGGCCCCAGAGCAGAAGCAGGGACCACAGGCCCAGCATGGCTGGCTGCACGCCTGTAAGGAGCAGAAGCAGGAACTCTGAGACCCTCCTCCTGCTCCAGCCTTTCCCTTCTCTGTTCCCATTGTCAGCCTTCCTCCTCCCTGCCCACCTGGCACAGCCCAAATCCAGCTTCACTCCCAGGAAAGCCTTCTCCTCCCAAATGTAAGCAGGGCCAACACGCAGGTGGCACGGTGCAGCTGCCAATGCACTCAAATCTCCAAGGCACTTTCCAAGCCTCTCCCTCATTGGGTTCCATTTCTCAGATGGGAAAACTGAGACTGAAAGGGATAGGAGACTAGACCAAAGCCACAGAACTAATCAGAGACACAGTCAGAATTCAAGCCTGAGTCCATCTGACAGAAAAGTCTTAGTCCTCAGTGGCCCAGTGAGCCTGGCCGGGTGTCTGGAGTGACAGCTGTAGACAGAAGGGCTTCCCCTTCAGGACAGCAGGATGAGAGCTTTGTTTCCAGGACCTGCTTCCCACTGGCTCATGAGGCTGTTTCAGAAGGTCTAGCTGATTGGGGACACCCAACACTTAGACTTAACATGTCCTGTCTTTCTCCTTCCCCCACCTCCATCCCAAATCTTGTTGAAGAAGGGAATGGGGTGGCCGGTGGGGGCATGGCTAATCTGCTAATTTCAGAGAGTGGGATTTTTCTTTAAGGAGTTCCTTATTTGCCCACCCAATCACATATCCATCTATGCCTACCCGTCACTCCTGCTTAAACCCTTCAGTGGCTCCGCATTGCCCTGGATTGAAACCCAGGCTTCTTGCCATTACCCACAAAATCCCTGCCTGCCTCTTTGATCTCATCGAGCTTGAACATGCCAGGCCCCTTCCCACTCCAGGGCCTTTGCACATGCGGTTCCTTGTTAAGAAGTTTCCTCCCCTGTTCTTTGCATGGCTGACTCCTTATCATTTAGGTTCCAGATAAACATTGCGTCCCTGGAGAGGCCTCCCTCCTTCACTTTGTCTGAAGAAATCCATCTGTCACTAAACATCACCCAGAATATTTATTTTAAGGTGCTGATCTCCATTTGCAGTTTTGCATCTGTTTGTGTCCTCGTTTCTCTTCCCTGTAAACTCCATGAAGGCAGGGACCTTGTCTAAGGCCTCTGTGTGTGGTTGTGTGTCAGAAGGGGGTCCCTGCTGAGGAGGCAGCGGATAGACATTCAGCAGCATGTCACTGGCCAGGAGAAACATGGGCGCTCCTGGAACTCTCTCCATACACAGGGATCACAGCCCACCCCTCCGGCTATGAATGTATACAAGTCTTTGCCTCTCTCTCGGCCCCAGATCTGGAACATGGTTTTTCTCTTCACCCACCCTCTTGGTACCCTCCTAGGGTGAGTTCCTCCTCAGGTGAGTTCTTTCCGTGCCCATCAGTCATACGGGAGGGCAGAAGGTGGTGGGGTCAATGGCTGGGCAGCAGGACGAGCCCAGGGCTGCCTCAAGCTGTCTTACCCTTGCTCCTGCAGCTCCACAAGGGGTGGATGGGGGCTCCCGGCCTCCTGTCAGTTCCTCCACCCACCCGAGCTGAGGGGTGGCCCTTATATGCCCACGCGGCTCTGAGGACACAAAAGGGCCACGGCCGCCAGAAACCCATCAATATGTCATGTCAGAAGCAAATTGCGGTTTTCCCCGAGGGCCTGGGCTAAGCCTTCCTGCTTAGAGGAGAGTAAGGGGACTGGGGTCGGTGCCCAGGAGTGGGAGTGAAGGCTTGGGGACTGCACAGGCAGCACCTCCCTCAGAGCCAGGGGTGAGGTGTGGGGCCCTGCCACCTACCCGTTCAGCCATCTCTTGGGCTCCCTCCAAGGCTCCCCAAGGGCCATTCCAGTGGCACAGAATCCACCCTGCCTACCCCCCACCCTTCCTCAGCCAGCAAAGGCCTAGGGAGGGAAGGAAGGGACCTAAAGCTGCTGGGTCTTCTACCCTCCACCACCCCCACCCCAGGCCTCACATGGAGAGGGCTGTGGGCCTGGAGACAGGGACTCTGGGCACACTTGGGGGAGGGGCGTCAACTCCACCCCCACCTACCAAGGCTCGGTATCCCCAGAATTCAAGAGCTTTGTCCCCTTTCCGAGGCTGGTCCAGATGACAGCAACAAGAAATGCACGCATTCATTCACTCCACTGCAGGCATTTGTGAGGCACCCACTGTCTGCTAGATGTTGGGGAGATCGCAGTAAATAAAAGAAACAAACTCCGCTGCCCGAAGGAGCCAGGATTCCATTCCAGTGGAAATGCAATGCAATTTAAAACTTTCTCGTAGCCACATTCTTTGAAAGGTAAAAAGAAACAGGTGAAATTAATTATAATAGTCTAGTGTATTTACCCCCATCAAATCCAAAATAGTCTCTTTTAACATATAACCAACAGAAACTTATGAATGGGGTTTACTCTCTTTTTCTCATGCTAAGTTTTCAAAATCTGCTTACAGCACACCAAGATTTGGACTTGTCACATTTCAGGCAATCGCCTTGTGTGGCTATTGGCTGTCGTGTTGGACAGCACAGCTCTGAAAGGGACAAATAAGCACATGATACAGTAAGTTGGGGCCAGGCGCGGTGGCTCACGCCTGTAATCCAGCACTATTGGGAGGCGCAAGCGGTGGATCACCTGAGGTCGGGAGTTTGGACAGCCTGGGCCCAACTGGTGAACCCATCTCTACTAAATATAAAAATAGCCAGGTGCGGTGGCTCATGCCCTGTATTGCCCAGCACTTTGGGAGGCCAAGGCGGGTGAAATCACCTAGGTCAGGAGTTCGAGACCAGACTGACACATGGTGAACTCCGTCTCTACAAAAAATATAAAAATTAGCTGGGCGTGGTGGTGGTTGCCTGTAGTCCCAGCTATTTGGGAGGCTGAGGCAGGAGAATGGTGTGAACCCGGGAGGTGGAGCTTGCAGTGAGCCAAGATGGCACCACTGCACTCCAGCCTGGGTGACAGTGCAAGACTCCATCTCAAAAAAAAAAAAAAAAAAAAGAAAAAAAATATATATACTAAACACCACGTGTATATATATGTGTGTGTGTGTGTGTAATATATATATATAAGTAGGCATAGTGGTGCACACTTTAATCCCTACATGGGAGGCTGGGCAGGAGAATTGCATGAACCTGGACGGCGGAGGTTGTAACAAGCCAAGATTGCCTCACTGCACTCCACCCTGGGCGACAGAGTGAGACTCCATCTCAGAAAAAATACGGTAAGTTAGAAGCTAACGACAAAAATAAAGCAGGGAAGTGGCTCAGGAGTGTGGGGAGTGGGTGCCATTTTCAATAGGGCGGTCAGGAGGGCCTCGTATTGGATCAGGGGTGACTTTTGACCTGAAGGAGAAGAGGGAAGGAGTCAGATGGCTGTCTGGAAAGAGCCTGCTGACCAGAGGGACCCCCACACAAAGGCCTAGGGTGGTGTTCCAGGAACAGCAGTGGGGCCATGTGACTGGAGGGGGTAACAGAAAAGGGGCCAACAATGTGTGATGAGGCCTTGGAACCTACTCTATGGATTTACTGACTTTGGCTTTTGTTGGCAATTCCTCTGAAGGCACCAGCTCAGGCATCCCTTCCTCCAGGAAGCCTTCATGAGCCCCAAGCTGCATGACGTATCACCTCTGAGCTCCCACATTCCCCTGGGATTTCCTCTCTCAGAATCTGTGACATGCCAAGCTGTCACTGTGTCTGTGGCTCTGTGAGTCTGTGGGTCTGTCTTCTGCGTGGGGCCCTGAACCTCTGCCTGCTGAGATGGAGAAGAAGGACGACATTTGCCTTGTTTACCTCAATCATCTCTAAAGCCCTCACCCTACAATGTTCATGCTGATGACTTTAGGCCCTGGGCCAGGTTACTCAACCACACCACACTTTTTAAAAAAATAAACTTTTTACTAAAATCTAAAACATGTACACAAAAAGGGGCACGGATCACAAGTATACAGTGTGATGAATTTTTACAAATGGAGCCCTCTCAAAGCCCTCTTTGTGTCCCCTCCAGGTCACTGCCCACCTGGAGGTGACCACTGTCCTGACTGCTAACCCAGTGCTGAGTCCAGCATGTTCCTGGGGGTCACTAAGTGCAATTGCAGTGTGCTGTATGTGCACAGCTTTCTCGCTTCCGTTGTGTGAGGCGGTGACTGGGTCTTCCTTGCTGTGTACTACTCCACTGTGTGAATCCCCACAGTGTGTTTATCCGTTCTCGTGTCCAGACGTGCCTGGGCTTTCCAGGTGTTGGCTATTATGAATGAAGCTGCTATGAACACTCTTGTTGGTGGACTTTTTTTTTCTTTTTTGAGACAGAGTCTTGCTCTGTCACCCAGGCTGGAGTGCAGTGGTGTGATCTCAGCTCACTGCAACCTCCTCTTCCTGGGCTCAAGCGATTGTCCTGCCTCAGCCTCCTGAGTAGCTGGGACTACAGGCACACCCTGCCACACCCAGCTAATTTTTGTATTTTTCATAGAGACAGAGTTTCACTATGTTGGCCAGGCTGGTCTCGAACTCCTGACCTCAAGTGATCCTCCCACCCCAGCCTCCCAAAGTGCTGGGAATACAGGCATGAACCACCACACTCAGCTTGGGCATATGTTTTTATTCTTCATTTCTTTTGGGTAAATAACAAGGAGTGGCATTGCTGGAGCACAGCATGCATGTACATGTTTAGCCATACTCTCTATGGCTACAGTTTCCCCAAGCATTATGCCACTGCACATGGTCACTGCTGCTACTCCACAGCCTCATCTGTGCTGGGCATCCCCAATGTTTTTAAGGCATTTGTTTGAAGGAAGAGGAAAGAAAGCTAACACTAGCGTTTATTGAGCACATACTGTGCACAAGGCACCTGCTGTATGTGAGCACATCTAGTCATCACAAAGACCCAGTAAGGTCAGTGCTGTTATTATTTCCTCTTCTTACACTCAAGGAGCCAAGGCTCAGCAAGGGTAACCAGCTTGCTGGATGTCACACAGGAGTCCAGCCAGCCTGTCTAACACCCATTGTCTTACCACCGCCCAGCCTAGCCTCCTGGAAGAGAGGAAAATGCTACCTAGTTTCTGGCCTCCCTCGTCTCTCCTCCTCCTTCCTGATCCCCACACCACAGGGGACTCTGATGCCCCTATAAGCTCCCCAGGCATCCCTATATCCCCTCATGCACCAAAGCCGGGTCAGGGATTGGGCCTTCCCACAGGAAGGGATTCATTAAAATGCATATCTCTTGGCCTCACCTTTGGCAATCCTGACTCCACTGACAAGCACCTAGGGGGACGTTTAACAAGCCCCCAAGGCAATGCGATATGCAGCCCTTTTGAGATCCCTGGTGAGCGTGATGGGGAGCCAGGGAAGGGATTAGAGCCGGGGAGGGACTTGATGAGGAAAAATACCCTGGGGCCACCTTTGGCAATCCTGACTCCACTGACAAGCACCTAGGGGGACGTTTAACAAGCCCCCAAGGCAATGCGATGTGCAGCCCTTTTGAGATCCCTGGTGAGGGTGATGGGGAGCAAGGGAAGGGATTAGAGCAGGGGAGGGACTTGATGAGAAAAAATACCCTGGGGCACTAGTTCCTAGAGTGAAGGTTCTGGAGTCAAAATTTCTGGGTCCAAATTCTGGCTCTGTCACTCACAATTGAGTGACTTAACTCACAGAGCCACAGTTCTCCCATCTGCAAGATGGGCTCATATTAAACGTGGCCACCCTCACCTAATTGGTATGGCCGTGAGGACAGGTATCCTAGAAACGAACTTTAGGGCATCAAGGGAGAGGGGCCAAGGGTGCAGATGGTGGTGAGATCCCTGGGAGGCTTCCCCATGCTACTCGAGCTGAGAGTGGGCTGAGAAGGGAGAAGGCAAGGTAGGTGGGGAGTGGCATGAACACAGGTGCGGGGAACGTTGCGTGGTCTTCATTTTCCCAGGGTGATGCTGTCTGGCAAGTCCCTGGGGGTCAATAGCTGTGGGACCAGGACCAAAGACCTGGCTCTGCCCTTTTCTCACTCTGTGGGCTTGAGCCTCAGTTTCTTGAAAGGAGGACACTGCATTCCACTGCTGAGTGTGGTGTGAAGGAGCGAGGAAGAGACTTGGACTGAGGAAGACAGGGTTCAAGCCCAGCTCCACGTGTGCCATGTGCCCTTGGGCAAATCACTTCATCTCTCTGGGCTTCCACTTCCTTATCTGGGGTTGGAGGAGTCTGGGAGGGGAGCAGTGCCCAGCAGACTTCGTATCACTGCCTCCCCAGGGAGTGGGGTCATGTAGTAGGGCTCCCTTGCTGGTCCAGCCCACATTTTCTGCTCAGGGTGAATCTGGAGGAACTGACCACTCAAAGACTGTTGACGTCAGATTAGAGGTCAGAGCATCTAACCCCTTCCTCACTGTAAAGATGAGTAAACTGAGATTCAGAGAGGAGCTGTGGCTTGTTCAAGGCCTCACAGTACCGAAGGCCTGGCAAGAAGCCAGGTCTTCAAACCCTAACAGCTTGTGCCCTGGCTTCCCCATCAGCACACTGAGCCTGGGGAGGGTGGCAGCAAGACTTTAGGGAGCCATATGTATGCTGTGGGAACATCCAAAAGTGGGGTTGGGGGTGGAGGGGTGTCTCTGGCATGCCCAGGGCCAGGCATCAGCAGCCCATGGATTACCCGGCGTCTGCACCTGCCAGGCCTCCCTCAAGGCTGCCATTGTCCCAGAGCTGGGGAGATGATGAGTAACAGGATTAGAGCTCACGGTGAGGGACAAGGGGACGGCCCTGGCATCCGGGACAAGGCAAGAGGGGCCCTCCCTCCTCTGTGGCATGGGCCTGGCCCAGGCTGGGACAGGGTATACCTGCCAGGGCCCCATGGCTAGGGCAGCACTGGCCTGATCAGGCCTCTGGCTACACCACACCACCCACAGACACATGTATGTGCCCAGACACAGACCCACTCACAAAGACGCCCCCAATCTTCCACATCCAGAGCCTCACCCCAGGGAGACAGACATTCTCACACACACACACACACACACACACACACACACACACACACACCAACAGACATATGGACACACATAGCCACCATCCCCATAATCTCCAGGGCCGGGGCACCAGTTGATCATAGGAGGCCCATGATACATTTTTTCCCCAAAGTTATACGTGTTTTTTTGAGACAGAGTCTTGCTCTCTCACCCAGGCTGGAGTGCAGTGGCGCGATCTTGGCTCACTGCAGCCTCCGCCTCCCGGGTTCAAGTGATTCTCCTGTCTCAGCCTCCCGAGTAGCTGGGATTACATGCGCATACTACCTAAGCCCCGCTAATTTTTGGATTTTTAGTAGAAACGGGGTTTCACCATGTTGGCCAGGATGGTCTCGATCTCCTGACCTCCTGATCTGCCCGCCTCAGCCTCCCAGAATGCTGGGATTACAGGCTTAAGCCACCGCGCCCAGCCTAGATTTTTTTAAAAGACATTCTAGCAAGGGACACTGATTTGCGGGCTTAGAAGTCCTTTGCGGGAACTCGCAGTGCGCATGCGCGGGGCAGGTGGGTGCGTGCACACCTCCTGGTTGCCTCGACGCGACCCAAGGCAGAGGTGTCATGGCTGTACCCCTGTGGCCTGCTGCCCACCTCCTCTTCGACGTGGACGGCCTGCTTCTGGATACTGAACAACTCCGTTCAGTGGTGTTTCAAGACATATGTGATTGCTATGAAAAGGAATACATCTGGGATGTGAAGTCCCTGGTTATGGGTAAGAAGGCATTGGAGGTGGCACAGGTGGTCGTGGACGTCCTGCGGCTCCTGGTGTCCAAGGAGGAGCTGCTGGAAGAAAGGCAAGCCAGGCCGAGGGACGTGTTCCCCACCGTGGCGCTCATGCCAGGGGCTGAGAAACTCATCCTCCACCTGCGGAAACACAACATTCCGTTTGCCTTGGCCACCAACTCAGAGTCCGCATCCTTCGAGGTGAAGACAAGCAGGCACAAGGAACTCTTCAGCCTGTTCCATCACATCGTGCTGGGAGACGACTCGAAGTGAAGAGCTGCAAGCCCGACCCTGCCATATTCCTGGCTTGTGCCAGGAGGTTCTCTCCACCTCCGCCTGTGGAGGAGTGCCTTGTCTTTGAAGATGCACGCAAACCTCCACTCTTGGCCCTGCCTCTGCACAGACCCTCCCGCCAGGTCACCTCATCCACAGGCCATTCATACACTGATACGTGCACTGGTTCAGGGCCACATGGTTACCTGCCCACACGCCAACACAGAAACACTTATGCACAGCTCTCTGACTCAAAAATCCACCCGTGACTAACATCTGTTGAGCACTTACTGTGTGCCAAGCACTGTGCTAAGCACCTTTTATGATTTCACTCATGTGATCCTCACAACTCTGCTGAGGTTGGTCTTTGGTTGGTACTGTCATCGTTCTCATTTTACAGGTGAGGAAACGAAGGCTCAGATTGGTGATGTGACTTGCCCAGGACACACAGCAAAGAGGAGGCAGAGGCAGGATTTGAACCCAGGCAAGCTGGCTTCACAGCCTGAATTCCAATCCCAGCTCTGCCTCCTGACTTGCCAGGTGGCCTAAGCCAGCCATTCCACCTCTCTGAGCCTCAATCTCATCAGTGCAATGGGGACAGTTCCCACCCCTGTCAACTGCTGTGAGGATTAAAGAAGGTGACACAGGAAAGGCTCCTGGGGTAACAGGTTCCAAGTGAATAGAGCCATCTTTAAGCTGCCAAGATTTTGCACATAGCTAAGGTAGGAAGAGCTTTGCCACTTGCTAAACTGTAAGACCTTGGACAAGGGAGTTGGCCTCTCTGTGCCTCAATTTCCTCATCTGTAAGGTGGGGATGACACTTGCCCTCCACCCATAGAGTTATTGTGTAGATTAAATGAGATGGTGTAAGTAAAGCCCTGGGCATGGCATTGAACAGGTACTCAGTATGTGCTCAAGAACTCCCCCAAGCTGTGACCAGCTGCCCTCCAGATCCCAAGCTGGTCTTAGACCCCAAAGCCCACCAAAGGGAAAGAATAGCCACACACAGATTTGTCACTTAAAAAAATAAAGAGATCAAAGCATCAGATATTTGTAAGAGCCTTTCTCCTGTTTATTGGCAAGGCTCCAGCCCGGACCTGATCCATTCACTCCTTGTCAAAGGAAGCAGCCACAAGTGGTAGGGGGCCAGGCCCACCTGGCTCCAATCAGGGGGGCTCCTCCATGGGGTGCAGGCGGTTGGTGGTAAGCAGGCAGCTGGCAGGGAAGTCCTGCCATGGTCAGCCAAGCTTCAAGTCCAGCATCAAGGCATTCTGACAAAAGGCAAAGGGGTAGGCGAGCAATGACCAGGGACCACCTAGGCCCAGGGATGGAATGGAACTGGGCCTCTTGCCAGGACATGGAAACCAGTGTGGCGTTTAAGCAAAGCTTGAAGTAGACTTCCCTTGTAACCCTGGGGAGGTCTCTTCACCTCTCTTACTCTCAATTTTCTCAACTGTTAAGTGAGGACAAGCACCCCCACCTCCCAGAGCAGAGAGATCAAATAAGAAAAATGTACATTTACCACTCCAAGCTCAAAGGCTGGCATGCAATGCAAAGCTAATATTTATTGAGTACTTACTATGTGCCTTTAGGTAAATTATCTCAATGAAGCATAATAACAGCTCTAATGAGGACAATATCTGTATTATCATCTCCATTTTAAGCACCGGAAAATGGAGACACAGAGAGAGGTGAAGTAATTGGCCCAAGATGGCAGAACAAGAAAGTAGCAGAGTCCAAGTATCCTTCTATGGAATCCCTGGTCAAGGAGGGTTCTAGGTTTTAAAGGGCAGGATTATACTGATGGCCACCTGCCCTCCCAGGCTCTACCCCTTCCAGTTTGAGAGAGGTAGCCTCTTGCTCATCACTCATTGGCTGACAGTGTTGATTGACATGACCTTCCCCAGCCCCTCCTCTCACCTCCACTACATCCAGCTCAGCCAGGTTGTAATTCATGGCCAGAAAGTCCGGGAGCGGGAGCCCCACTTGGAGCACATCTGAGAAATAGAGTAAGAGTCATATCAGTCTGACTGCTGTGCAGTTGATTAAAGAGTGGCAGCCTGGGGTAGGGATAGTGGAAAATAGTGCAGTGATTGATTCATGATGCCTGCCAGCTGTACAGGCAAAGAGCTAATAAGCCTGATTTGCCATGTATTTACATCCCAGGTCAAGATGTAGGGTTATGATACGGGGCCGCGTCAGAGCCCAAATTGTGGGAGAGACATTTGTCTTCAGACAGGTGACATTAAGACTATATTCACTTCAAAGATTCAGCAATTATCTTCTACCCCCTTTTAGCTTCCCCCATCTGGATCCAGTGATAGGGCTTTGAGACCACCCAGGTGGCATCCCTTCTTGCTTAAAGTGCTTCTTGGCACCATAGTCCAAAGCCTTTTGGAGCCCTCACCATTGACAACTGGGATGTAGGCTTCTTCGAGATAGTCGGTGATGAAGCCAGTTAATTCCTTCTCCTGGAGAGAGGAAGAAAGAGAAAATATCTACATTCCATTCAGTCCAATAGCATTCAACAGATCTTTTCGGTCCTCTCTGGCTAGGCCTGGGGACCACAGAAGTGAATATTAGACACCAAATGATTTGTCCAGCTGGCATCAAAACTGGGCCTGGCCTTGGCTCTGTTTGGACGGTAGACCCATGCCCATCACCTCTGCTTAGTACCTATGACATGTGGGGCTTTGGCCCATGGTGCAGGAACAGGAAAACTCAGGATACAAGAGGTGGCTTTGTGGACCCCACTCCTGATCCTATAGAAACTCAGTAGCTTTGATGAGTCACTCACTTACCACCTCTCTATAGCTGAGTTTCCCCATCTTTGAAAGTGAACTGTAATCACACCTGCTCCCAGGTGAGGGTTTCCATGAGGATTAAAAGAGGTTGGATAAAGCATACGATTGCAGAGTAAGTGATGGCGGTGTTGGCACCTACTGGCGTCAGGTTCTGTGTTGGGCCCTGAGGCTACAGAGACTAATAAAAATAACAGCTTGGCCAACCAAGGCCAACCCAGGCTGCCACTGTTCATGACAATGTTTTTAAAACCAATCCAGGGAGATGTCCAGATTCTATCCAGAAAAGGAAACAGGGATTCAGAGAGGCTAAGGGACTTTCCTGAGCTCACATGGCAAGTCAGGTGCACCAGGCCTCACAGTGGCCTTGCTCTGTTCATCTGCCTCCATTTCAGGGCCTCGGCCCTGCAGTTCCAAGGGAGAATAGGCCCAGTCTTGTCCTCACGCTGGACCAGGCAAGAGCACTTGGGACACTTACATTGAAGTTGCCAATCGATGAGGACTTCCGGGACAAGCTCAGTAATCTGTGGGGGAGTGGGGAAGCAAGCCAGGTGGGGAGGGGAAAGAACCGTCAGAGCCAGTGGCCCTGGCCCTGGAGAGGGGGGTCCCAAGCACCCCAATGCCTCCCTGATGCAGGAGTTCCCTCTACAGTCTTCAGACCAGGTGCTCCTGAGTCTGCTTGCTTGCTGCCTGTGATGGGACACTCACCACCTTTCATTACAGCACATGATTTCTCAAAGCTCAAACCAGTAGACTGGTCCTGACTCTTCCCTCTGGGACCCCCATTTGTGTCTATTGCTCCTGCCCAAGGCCAGCTATGCAGAGGTTTACAGCCCAACTGGGCAGTCTCAGGTCCTTGCAGGACACAGAGCAGGAGCCCTTCCCCTGACCCCCTCCCCTGCACAATCTCCAGGAGGCACTAACATATGTTAGCACCAGAACAGGCCATGTGATGACCATATGGTGGCTCTGTCCTTCTATTCTGTATTCCAGTAACACATCCTCCATTTTCCACTCTGATTCCAAGTCATTCAGATGGACTGAACCCAAAGTCCCTCGGGTGAGTCTATGACCCAGGCCTGGCCAATCAGAGCATATTCCATCTCTCAGTCAAGTGAATGGCTTAGAGTTGGTCATGTGACCCAAACTACATCCAAGCCTTGGTAATTTTATCAGAACCACTGGACAAGAGGCTTCGCTTGCCAGGGTCGCTCTGCCACCCTGAGGGGAGAAGTGCCTGAGAATTTAGCCAACAAAGTGGGTAGCAAAGTCAAGAGGAAGAGGGAGATAGATTATCGAGGAGTTTGTTTGTGTGCCTGGATCCAACCACACCTGAAGGCAGACCTACCCCTAAGGTTAGGCCAGACGCGGTGGCTCATGCCTGTAATGCCAGCGCTTTGGGAGGCTGAGGTGGGCAGATCATGAGGTCAGGAGATCGAGACCATCCTGGCTAACATGGTGAAACCCTGTCTCTACTAAAAATACAAAAAATTAGCCGGGTGTGGCGGCGGACGCTTGTAGTCCCAGCTACTCTGGAGGCTGAGGCAGGAGAATGGCGTGAACCAGGAGGTGGAGCTTGCAGTGAGCCGAGACTGCACCACTGCACTCCAGCCTGGACAACACAGCGAGACTCCGTCTCAAAAGAAAAAAAGAAAAAAGAAAGAACTACCCCTAAAGTTTTCAATTATATGAGCCAGGGATTCCCTTTGGGGCTTAAGCCAGTTAAAGCTGGAATTCTCTCTCTTGCAACTGAAAGAATCCCGACAGAATGAATCCTGAGGTGCTTCATTATTAAGGCAAGTACAAGAATTAATAGGGACTGAATGTTAAGCTAAGATGTTTGTAGTACCCTCCTCCCAAAGCATAAGAATAAAATAGGATAATGAATATAATGTATGCAGCCAGTGCCTCACATGTAGAGAGAGCTCCGTAAATAAATGTTAGCTGCTATTAGTATAAGGAAAGGCTTTGTGGAGGAGGTGGCATTTGAGCTGGACCCTGACTCTCAGGTGACATTGGAATGGCATGGGTAAAGGCTTATTCATGGAAAAGGGGGCGTGATGACCAGATTCACTGTAAAAGAGCCTAGGGGAAGAGTGAGGGTAGAGGTGAAAGAACTGAGAAGGGCCTTGAGTACCAGGCTAAGATTTGGGAAAAGATTATGCAGACAATGGGGAGCCATTGAGGGTTCTAGAGCAGGAAGAGTAACTAGAGCAGCCTAGTAGTTGGGGGTGTGCTGGGTGGATCAACCCAGTAGTGTGGGGTGTGCTGGAGCAGAAGGCCAAATGTGAAGGTAACAGGGATGCCAGCATGAGGCAGCAGGGTCCTACCTGTCCAAAGAGGTGGCCATCTGCAGCCGGTTCTCACGCACTGAGTACTGGACTTTCAGATTGAAGTGCTGACATGGTGGGGAGGAAGCAGGGAAAAGGCAGTGTGTTCCCCACCATCAGGGCTGGCAAAGCCAGAGATGATCACCCTCCCAGCACCACCACAACTGCCAAGACAAAGCAGGGGATCTTCTCTCTGTCCGTCCTCAGGAACTGAACCCAGCCATCTCCCCATAGCCCCAGCCCAGGCTTCTCATCCCTCCTTGTCCTGAGCCAGGGCAGCACCCCCCAAAATACCTGGCACCTTCAGTAGGTCCCTGCACACATCATACTATTGATCCAGGTCTTTGCACATGCTGGAAACTCTGCCTGGGGTGTCCTCTGTCCCCAGTTTCCCTGGTAAGACTCTTTGTCCCCAACCCTTCTCTGGCAAGCTCCTACTCAACCTTCAAAACATAGCTCAGCTATCACCTCCTCTTGGAAGCCCTTTGTGATTTCCCCAAATTGGATTTGGGATCTCCCTAGGCACCCATAGTCCCTTCAGTGCACCCTTCACTGCCTTTGTAGTTGCTGAAGAATGTTGCAGGGAGGAAAGAGAAAGGAAGGACTAAGCCACTGACCCTCCATTTGCTGGGCTTTCCAGCCATTCAAAGGTTCAATGGCAGAGTCAAGGATCAGACATAATCAAAACTAACTGAGAACCCTCTGATCCATGACTTGGCTATCAACTAAAAATCCCATCCTCCAGCCTTGAATATCCAAGCAGTTGGGAATACACGGGGAAGGGAATGATTTCCCTCACCACTTCTAGGAGAAAGAGGGACATTGGAGCCTTGCCCCTCTGCCAAGCTGCGAACATCTCCAGGGTGCCGTGGAAGTGTAGCAGGCTCTTGCCTGTCTTCATTGTGACCTTGACAGGCTTCTTTATCTTGATCTGGGTTGTCAAGGGCGTTGACTTGGGATAAGCTACAGACACCTACAGAAGCCAGAACACTTCACTCAGGGCCAGTCCTTAGACTGGTGGCTTCAGCTGAAATAAGGGCTCCCTCAAGACATAGGTAATTTCTACCTTGGACACAGGAAGTACAACATGCAAAGGCCAGGATGTGTCTATCAGGAAATAAAAGAAACAAAATACACAATCTGGCTATTCTCTAATGGACATAGAAAGTACAATGCACAAAAGTAGAGCTGTTTTCTACGTTCGACTCAAAAAGTACTTTATGAAGAAGAAAAGATGTTTCAACGTTGGACAAGGAACATGTGGCGTGAGAAGCTGTCTCCCAAGTCCCACTGGAGGACAGACTGGAGGACAATAGGGCAGGACAGGGTGCAGTGGTGATGGGGAGGTGGGGCACTCACTTCAGGAATGAAGCCAGCCAGTGTCTCGGTGGTTTGTGGGGGCAGCTCACCGATCTACAAAATAAAAGTCAAGGTTAGGGTTGCTGGAGTCCTCCCTGGCCCATCCTAACAAACATCTCCACTGACGTAATAAGGTGTACCCTTTGAGGCTCCCTTCATCACAATACTTACCACTCTGGGTTTAACTAAATATTGTGCTTTCTGGGTAGCCCAGGTGATGACTTACACATTTAAGTGCTCATAACTCTTAGCACAAGGTCAAATGCTGAGAAAATGTTGTTGAATGAAAATGCAGGAAGATAGATGGGAGAGTGGTAGATGTGATGGGTAAAGGGGATGGGTAGATCTATTTGGAGATGAATAGACAGATGAATGGGGAAATGGATAAACAGATAAGTGGGTAAATGGGTGGGAGGATGATGAATGGATGGATGGGTAGGTGGAAATCTAGGGAAGAATACATGGATGGATGATGTGTGGATGGAAAGATGGGTGGTGAATGAATGAAAGGAATGGTGGATAGGAGGATAGGTGGATGGGAAAATGGTGGAGTAGAATCATAAATGGATGAGAAAATAGATGAATGGACTGATGGGTGGGAGAATGGATGAGAAGGTACATGGATGAATGGTAAACAGATGGTTGGGAAGATGAATGGATAGATCAGTGGGGAAAGAATGGACAGGTGGGTGGATGGTTGGAGAGATGGATGGCTGAATGAGTGGATGAGTAGGAGGATGGATAAGGTAAAGTTGGGTGGATGTAGTGGTGTCTGGGTGGTAAAAGGCAGGTACATACATTCATTCATTCAACAGTATCAGACTTTGATACTGATGGATGGATGGCCAAGATATTAGAGATGCAGGTTGATAAACAGTTGGTTGTACGGACAGATGGATGTACAGATGAGTAGATGGTAGTTATATGGACAGAGGGATGGTGGGTAGTGAGATGAACTGCTGAGAGAAACTCAAATCAGTCCTGCATCTTCCAGTCCTAGTGTTGCCCACAAGGCCAGGATAATTTTCATAATAGAAAAACTAGGCAGGGACTGCATTGTAATGGACAGAGGCAGATGGGATGGGGAACTGGACAGCTCACCATCGTATCCTGGATGTTCACATGAAAGGACTTCTGCAGAAGGGCAAGCTCTGCGGAAAGGAGGGTGTCTGGGAGCAGCAGCTGCGACGAACCTTCAGCATGACCCTTGGGGAACACGAGGGCCTCCCCAGCATCAGCAAGCTTGATGGGTTTGCCGTTTTGCTGCTGCACCACAGGCTGTGGGGCAGCGGGAGAGAGACACTCAGCCTTGGCCAAGAGGGACGGTGGCCAGGAGTGTCTCAGTCCTCTGAGCAAATGGGGCTCTAGCCAAACCCAAAGTCAGCAAATCAATAAATGTTTTTAATAGAACCACAACGGGCTGCAGTGGGCCAACCCTCCCAGTGTACAGGTGGGTAGACTGAGGCCTGGGAGGATAAGGGAGTCCGTCACTAAACCACTGGCACTTTCTCCTAGCACTGCTTTGGTAGCCTCAGTTGCTCTGAGTGGTTGAGGCCTTCATTTATTCAGAACATGATTTCTGCCTTGTTCTCAAAAGAAAGAGGCAGGCGGAAATGGACACGGAGCATGTAAGAACGCTGCTGGAGGAAGACTTCACAGGGAGGTGATGTCTTAGCATTTTACTTCGCATTCCTGGAAGATGCATCTCACCCCTTCACCTGGAGCTCTGGAGATCTGGGTGAGGGCCCAATTCTGACACCAACTCGCTGCAGAACCCTAGCCCAGTCCTACCCTCCCGCTAGGCCTCAGTGTTCCCATCTGTACAATGGCAGGGTACAACTGGGTGAGCCACTCACTAGGAAAAGCAAACAGCCTAGCGGGCAACATGAGTGTGAAGTCAGCAGGCTCAGAAGCCAGCTGGGGCACTGAAGGTTCACATGTAGAGCAGAAAGAGGGAGAGGCCCAGGGCCCACAAACACACTCATGGCATTGACCTCCAGGGCTTGAGGGGCCTCCCTCCCTCCACAGCCCTAGTCCAGCCACCTGTCCTGGCAGAAGCAGCACCCACTACCCAGACCAGTGAGCCTGAGACCCCAGCTCCCAGGTGGCCCCTGTCGCTTACACTGAAGTCCAGTTGGATGTAGCTGGCTGTGGTGGCCGGTGTGGACGTCAGGACATATTTGATGGTGCCCATCTGGCCCACGGGCATGGGGTCTGTGTGAAAAGGAGGTTCCACTAAAAGAGGCACCAATCCCGGGAACAGCCCAGAGAAGCTGGCACCAGCCAGCTGGTACTTATGCCTGTCCCTCCATGTGACTCAAGGCAAATTGCTTAGCACCTCTGGGCCTCTGTAACTTCATCTGTAGAATGGAGGCCATGGTGCCTGGCCTGGAAAATCACATCACTCAGCCAGCACAGAGCTTGAGAGTTCACCAAGGGCCGTCACTGCTTGGACCTTGCAACAGACTGGCATGGTCAGGATTTTCAGCTCTATTTCACAGCTGAGCAAACTGAGGCTGAGAAGAGTGAAGTGACTTTTCCCAGTCCACACTGCTGGGGACATGAATGAGTTTTCTTCAGTTCCAGTCACGGAGGTTTCCCCTCTCCCACATTGGGACCCCAAAATGATGGAGGCAGTATATCCCCTCAGCAAAGGTGATTCAGGCATTACCACCAGCGGGATTACTATATAGGCATGAGGCTTGTGGATGAGCAGAGAAGGGCTGCTGTCTCTGGAGTCTTGTGGGGCTTGGGATGCAATATTGGATAGGGAGATGAGAGAAAAGGAACCCAGATTCCCTGAGGACTTCAGGCTTCCCATTGGGACAGTGGGGGGTTGAATATCATGACCTCAAGCCTCCTCTAGTCCCAAGGCTGGGCTGGAAGCAGGCACTCGGATGGGGAATGGGACATAAAAGCCATCTATCCTGATGTCCCCAGGTAGGGGCAAGGTGTGAGCAGGGCTACACTCACCACTGAGGTTGGTCCACTTCCTGTTCACATACACCAGGACCGCATCGATGGCAGGACACATCTGGAAGCAGAGAAGGCACTAGGCTGAGAGGGTCCCTGCATGGAGAGCCTCCACACAGCTGAATGGTACTCCATGGGGCATCCCAAGAGCCCTGGTGGGATAGGGACTGGTGAGAAAACTGAGGTCCCAAGTCCCACAGAAAGTCAATGGCAGAGCCCGGACTAGAGTGCAGATCTGTTGACCAAATCAAAGTCTGCAAAAATTAGCAGGGACTCTTTCCCTGGGACTGGACATCAAAGCAGGGTTGGCAAGCTGTGCATGCAGGCTGTCATTTTCTCCTCCCCTGTTCATGGCAGACATCACTAGATGATTGTGGCACTTTCTTCCACTGAGCCAGCCACAGTCTCAGAACACTTCCCAGCCACTATCAGCCAATCAAGGTCAGCACCAAACATGAAATGCTTTTGCCAGCCCTTGCCTAGGCAGTCCCAGCAACGAGGGGTGGTGGCTTTCTCTGGGCCACTCACCAGCCCAGGGAGGACCTTGTGCAGTGTGCTGTCCAGGAACTTGTTGACCACCTTGGGCAGCATGCTAGATGGACACAGGCAACAAGGATAGGTGAGCAGGTGCATCAGGGCAGGAGTTTAGGCACAGGATATGAAGGGGCATGGTTAAGGAGGCTCCATGGCTCAGGAAGTGATATACTGGGGGGTATAGCAATATGGACCAGCCTTCCTCCCCAGCCACAGAGCCCCTCACTTGCTAGGCAGGTTGGTCTTCACGTTGACCAGGATGACCTCACAGCCCTCACTCTTGAACACAGGGAGGCCAGTCTCCTCATCCCGCAGAAGCTGGTTGGTGGCTGTGATGTTCAGGGCCACAATGATCTCCATGTTCCCTCCCATGAAGCTGGAGGACAGAGCAGGCAGGCACCATGGGCATCTCTGCCATGGTGTCCACTCTCCCTGCCTTCTCTTTGCTCACAATCTCAGCAGCTGAGAGGGGGAAAGGGTAGGAGACCACTTCTACAAGACAGAAAAGGGGCTGGGACCTGCCCCAGGTCACACAACCAGCTTTTCTCCCTCCCTGCTTGTTTCGGTGAACCCCTACACTCCTTTAAATTCTGCTTTGCTGTCATTGCCTCCCCAAAACGTTTTCTGACCATCCCCCACACTGCTCAATGCTTCTTCTGCCCTAGACCAGTCACTCAGTCTGTGATTGTGCTTAGGTTTGGTTCCTGACAAAGGTAGGGACCAAGTCTACATCATCCCAGATTACAACACTCAGATGGTACGCAGTAGGCACTCAATAAATGTGCATGTAAGGATGAGACAGGAAGGCTGTTCTCCTCCCCGCTGCCCCTCCCCTGCCACACTCACCTCTTGCCAGTGATGGTCATGCCTGTGGACACACATTGGAAGATGCCCACTCCAGGTACAAAGTTCAGTGTGATGACGGGCAGCTGGACATCCTTCACCTTCAAACTGGGAGGGACGGGCAGCCACACCAGTAAGATCTGAGCAGGCAAGACCCAGGACCTCCACCCACTTCTCCACCACTTTACTGGGAGGTCTTTCCATAACCCCAGCCCCCCATCCCATGTCACGGGGGTAAGCCTGCCTCATGGGGCCATTATGAAATGCAAACAAAAGGCTGGACATGAGTCAATTTGTATATAGAAAGCACTCATTATATGGGAGGTGGGACACATGGCTGACTCTGTGTGACCTTGAGCTGTGTCATTTCCTTATGTGGGCCTCAATTTCCCCATCAACAAAATGGGAGGTTTGCTTAGATCAGGGTTTCTCAAAAGTGGCACTATCCACATTTTGGGCAGGATAATTCTTTGTCATGAGGCTGATTTGTTCATTATTGGATGTCTAATAGCATCTCTGACCTCAGCACACTAAATGCCAGTAGCATTCCCCCAGTCCCCACAACTTGTGACAACCAAAAATGTCTCTGGACATTGTCAAATGTCCTATTGGAGGCAAAATCACCCCTGGTTGAGAACCACCAGTTGAGATCCAGGGTAACAAAATATGTAGCACACATACCCCAACTTGCCCATTTTGAGCTCTTGGCAGACATTGCTGGTTGATCACAGTCCTAGTTCCTGCTGAGTGCAGATAGTGCCTCAGAGCCCTCCCAAGTGCATCGTTTCAGGCAGCCCCTACTGATTAATCCCTCATGGCACTGGCAGAGGAACCAATTTCCTCTTGTCATTAGATGATTGTTGACACCTTTCCAGCTCTACCATTTGAGGACATTTTCATTTAATTTCATGTACATTCAGTGAGCTCATGTTGCATGCAGAGTTGAAATTTGACTTTCCAACCTCATTTCTTCCTCAAAATTACCCTGCTCACTACAGGGCAGAAATTTTCCCCAGTGAATGGCTGAGGAGGTCCAGGCACAGGCAGGAGCAGCGACCTACCCAAGGCCACACAGCAAGACAGCACAAGGCAGGGAAGAGACCCCACATCCCTCACCAGCTCCCTCACCTGGCCTCCTGAGATCTTGGGCACAGCATTCCCCACCACCCTCTGCCCTAACCACCACCCTCCAGCTCCCCTCACCCCCAACTTACTTGGTGATGCCCTTGATAGGCTTCATCCCTGGCTGTTTCTTGCCTGCCTCAGCTGCCATCTTCTCCAGGATATGACTCTCATCCATGGCGCTCTGGACCTCTGGAGTGGAGACACTTAGTTGGAGAGATTATCCCTGGGCCAGTCTCTCAGGCATCCCAGGCCACTCACAGTCATTGTGCCCCACCCTGGGCTGGACGATGGCAGAGACCCAGAGATGAGTCCCACCGCGCCCCAGCCTAATGGGGGAAGGTGGAGTCACCAGGAACGACAGTAACAAGCTGTAGGAGCCACACGAGCATTTAGGCAGGAAGAGAAGAGCTGGGGAAGGCTTTCAGGAGGAAGCGACAGATCAGTTGGTCCTTGAAGGGGGAATAGTAATCTTCTGCAGGAAGCAAAGGGATAAAAGGTATCAGTCTGGGCAGAGGGCACAGCAAAGTGCAAAGGTGGTTGGGAAAGAAGATGGCACAGTGGGAGGAAGAGGACAGATTCAGCATGGCTGGAGGGTGAGGACAGACATGGCAGAGAAACTGGAGCAGTTTGCAGGGGGCATGAAGTGAAGCTCTTGAACCCTAGGGTATTGATTTTGTCCTGTGGACCAGCCACTCCCAGGTCTAGGTGATTAGGGCACTCCTCTGGGGACTTGAATTTAGATTTTGGGCCTGAAGCAGAGAAATTCTGATTCCCCAAACCTAGAGGCCCCAACCCCAAGTAACACCCCACCAGAAACCCCTCCATTATGGCCACAAGCTAATTCCAGAGAGGGGGCAAACACTGAGTTGGTAGAACAATCATTAGCCTTTTGTACCTGGATGGGACTCCCCTTCCCTTGTGCTAGTGGAGTGGCAGGTGGAGGTGGAAAATACATTTTACTAAAGTCTCCTCCAAGAGATTTTAATCTCACATTTTATTCTGTCCTGCTAGGGACAGACTGGTCACCCTATTTTACATTTCTTTACATTTCACCTTTACAGGTGAACAAACAGCAATACAGAGAGGCCAACTAACTTGCCTGAGGTCACACAGCAAGTTGTTGCTGGGATTTGACCCTTGTCTGTCACTTCCACAGCCCACTTGTGGCTAAACACCCCTGCCATCAGGGCCAAGGAGAGACTCCAAGGGAGCAGGATTTCCAGCTCTGCCTCTAACTTGCAGAGGGAGCATGGGAAAATCATCCCATTTTCTCTGGTCCTTGGTTTCTCCCCTCTGTAAAGTGGGAGAATAATAATAACTCTTGCTTATAAGTTTACTTTGAGCTCACAGGATGCCCCAGGATGTGCAACCATGAGCAGCGACTACCTACCATCTACCCCAAGCACCGCCTCCCAGCCGCACGCCCGGGCCCACAATCTCACCGCGGTTCATGATGTCCATGCCCAACCGCAGCAGTGCCCCAGGGTCAGCTCGCGCGTGGGTCAGCAGGCTGCAGAGTGCCAGGCACAGGATCCGCAGCATGGCGCCACCTGTGCCAAGGGGCCTGAATTGGGTGCAGCCCACCAGACCAGACCCTGGCTCCCTAGGGGACCTCCTGTCTCTGAGCAGATTGAGCCCCCTGGATGTTTCTGGGGTCCAAGAGGCTTTGGACTCCAGCCAGTTCAGCAAACATAAGCACTGCCCTCTCCCAAGGGATTGAGGAACCCCCAGATTAAACACAGGGCCTCTGGAGCCACGCCCAGGTAGCTCATTTCCCTCTGTAAGCCTCAGTTTCCCCATGGGCATGATGTGTTCTGACCAGCCTGCAAGATGGGGTTAGAGGAAGGTTCAACTGCAGTTTTTCATGGGTTCAAGGGCAGCTCAATGCTGGAGCCACAGAGAGAATTCCAGACCTTCCCTGAGCCCCACACTATGTTGTAGGAGTGGGGAGTCCTGTGTTCCCACCCTGATCCTACAGCCAGTGCCCCACCCCGACCTCTTCCAGCTCAGCTCACTTCCATGTGGAACTCAGAAAGCTCAACTCTGAGCTCTGAAAGGCCCCTTGAGACATCGCCTCCCCGATAGAGAAACCGAGGCACAGACATTAGGTATCATGGCCAGTGAACAGTGAACTGAGTAAGGACCTCCCACCCCAGACCTTTTCAGGTTCCCAGGAAAGTCCTATCCCAACCTTGGGCCCATAGAAATCTCTCCCTCTTACTTACCAAGACCTGAAACTCTCCCAACCAGGGACCAAGCATATATTTCAGTTTTGAGCTTTGGCTGAAAAGAATGAAGGCAGGGCGCCTGGGAGCAGGGCCTGTTTCCACCCAGAGAGGGGAGGTTCCGGCCAGACTCTCTTGCTCTTAGCGGGCTAAGTCACTGAGGGCTCCCCTAATGCACAAACTAAGATGCGCCCTTACCATGGGCCTGCCTTCCCAGTCTGAGCCGATGCCTGCATTCATTCACTCATTCACTCATTCACTCATTCATTCATTCGGCTCACATCTATTGAGTGTCTTCTATGTGCCAAGCAGACCGGGCTTGTCTTTTTTGTCTCTGTGGCAGAGACAGCCCTGCTCCTCCTAAATCCTAAAGTCTGGCGGGGAATGAGAAGCAATAGCGTGGGATGTGGGATAAAAGGGTCAGGAACAGACTCTCTACGGAGGAGACATTTAGGCTGAGACCTGAGGGATGAAAAGGAACTTAAGTATCAAGAAGCGTTCAAGTCAATAGTCAATATTCACTAAATGGAAGATATATCTGGGTTTAAAATGATACACAGTAGCGCTTCTCGACCCCCGTGAATGCACAGGTGTGTGCCATGACATATGCTGATGTCCCTGCACACCCCATGTCAAATCTTTTTGAAAATCATCCCCAAAGGGGCTGTGAAATTCTGAGCCAGGCAACAGAGCTGGGAGGGGCTTGGTGAAGGTCTCCTCCAGCCCCAGTCCCATCTCACAGATGGGGTGACTGAGCCTCACCAGTCTCCCATCCCCAGGCCAGAACTGATGCCAGGCGTTATGGTCACTCGGCGCAGGGTTGTTTTTTTTTTTTTTTTTTTTGCCCTCTCAGAATAATAAGTGGCTTCAGGTAACGTGGTCACGTGGTCATGCGGTGTCTCTGGGACAAATGGCTAATGCTAGGGTTTTGTTTCTGAATGTGCATGTCCTAAGCTGTCCCTCCCTTTTAGAATGCCTTCCCTCCATCCATCTATCACCAGCTCAACCCTCAAGTCCTAATTTCAGCCCTTGCCTTATCTACCACAAAGCCTCCCTCAACCCCTTACTGCCCCTGTCCTCAAAAATCACAAATTAAACCTGACCGTGCAAATAATCCACCCTACCTGTGATGAGTGTTTCCTGCTACCCCCAACCACCCTCATCCTTTGCTCATGGTTTCTCCCACCAGAAGACCCTTCCTCCCTTTCTCTGCCTGGCACATACTCCTAGATGCCCTCCCACTCCTGGGTGCCCACCTCGGCTCTGAGCTCCTACAAAGCAGAGCCTGGGGTTCCCCTCCCTAGTCTCCCTTCAGCCTCAGATGGAGCCCAAGGGAGACCCATTTGATCTGCTGTCTCCTTGATCTTTCCGAACTCCTACAGCATCAGAAAATTGCAATGCCCAGTGGTCACCTGTAAGGTGGGGAGCACTGGCTGGAGGTGAGGACATAGATCCCAGCCCTGACCCTGCCATCCATTTGCTGTGTGACCTCAGGCAAGTCTCTTCCCCTCTCTGGGCCTCAGTTTTCTCATCTGTAAAATGACAAAGCTGGATAAGACACTCTCTGGGGAGAGTTCCACAGGTAGGGGACTGTCCTTACCTTGCTGAGCTCAGGGAAGTTCTGCAGATGACTGACCCCTTCCTCCTAACCCTGAGCTGAGGAAGCCCTTATATTCAGGAGCCTGATTGGTGGCTTGGAATAATTAAGGGCTTAATAAGGCCCAGATAATTATCTAGAGGCTTGAAGAACAGGAGCCCCATTGCTCACGTGACGTTTCAGTCTGTTCCAATGTAAATAGCATGGAAGACAAGAGTGGCTGGGAATCCCGGTGGCCGCATGAGAGCGGGTACCAGGGGCAGGATGTGGCTGCGCAAATGGCCATCAGTGCTCACACTGTTCCCTCTCCTAGACCCAGCACCTCCCACAAGTCTGGGCACACAGAGGGCATGCATTTGTTTCTTCAAGAAACATTTATTGAGCACCTACTGCGTGCCACGCCTGTGCAGGGCACTGGGTTTATCTCAGTGAGCAGGCAATTGGGCTTCCTGCCCTGAGAGAGTTTCTGGTGGCCAAAGGGGGAGACAGGCACTGTGCAAGTCAACAACCGCAAAGCCTATTGTTCCCAAGGGAGGCAAGGGTGATGAAAGCCACTAAACCAGAGAGATGGGACAGAGATGGAAGAACAAGGTGATCATCAGAACCCGGAGACCCGTGAGCAAGGGTTGTTGGAGCCGATGCCGGGGGGTGAGCAAAGACAGCTCTGCAAGACGGGAGCAAAGGTGTTTCAGACAGGGGCCAGCAAGTGCACAAGGCTTAGGAGATGCTGGCTGAGCCCACTGGGGTGTGTGTCCCCCAAGGTTCATTCACAGCGGGCACAAGGAGCTAATGGCCAAGTGAGGTGTCTTCAAAGGGACCCCCTGAAGATGCTATCATGCAGTACCAGGTCAGGGGGTGCTTTCTCTCAAGGTCCAAACCTGGGAGAAATGAATGCGGGGTGACTTCAGAGGCACAGGGGAGCCAGCCACAGAGCTGGGACCAGGCGGCCTGGGGTTTTCAGCCTCTGTTCTGCCCATCATGAGCTTCTTGGGGAGACTTGGCTCGGAGGCCCCTTGAGGGCTTTTGTGCTTGAGGAACAGTCCCCAGGAGGCTGCTGGGGGCCTGGGGTTTTCCTTTCCCACCCCACACGGACTCCACAGGTCCAGGAAGATGGAGGAAGCCACTGTGCTCGTGTGCACGTGGGGCCACTGAGGCGAGGGGAGTGAGGGTCTGCCTAAGGTCACAAGCCGCGGCTGAAGCCAGGCCGGGAAGGGTGAGAGCAGGACCCAGGGTGGCCAGACGGTCTCTACCCTGATCCAAGCCCTGAGCTGCAGGAGCCAGGTCCACAGATAGCATCGTCTTATCCCTGCTGACCCGCCCCCGACAGACAGACAGACAGGACTTACATCCTCTTACTGCCCACAAATCCACCCCGGTGTGTCTTGATTGCAGTTTCCTGGCTCTCCCTGCCCCCCACCAGGGCCATCTGGGTATTAAGGAGCGTATTTGGGGTGGAGAGCAGAAAGGACATGGGGCGGGAGAAACAGGAGAAACCCCTTGAATGGGTTCAGGGACCTGACCCAGTCCCAGCCACTGCCCTTGCAAGCTGTGTGGCCTTGGGCAGCTCCCTCAACCTCTCTGGGCCACTTTTATTTAATCCTCTTTATGATGGATGAGGGAGTAGAACTCTATGCTGCTGCCAATAACAGTAGGACCCATGTACTGTGCATCCCCCCTGTATCAGGCATTATGCTAAGTGTTTATTTACACTCACCTACTTAATCCTCAGAACTACCCTATGAGGCGGGCGCTTCAGCAATTTTCTCCATTTTATAGTTAGAGAAACTAAGGCTCAGAGAGGTCAAGTCATTTGCTCAAGGTCATACAGCGAGTGAATGGCACAGCTGGGGGTTGAATGTGGATCCAAGGGCTCCAGAGCCCAGGCCAACACCTTCGAAGGCATACCCAACAGGGCTCCTCTCTTCTCCCGGGCCCCAGAATCGCCCTGCCTGTTTCCTTATAACACCCTCCCTGCCTCCAGCTCTAAATTCAGTCCTGCTTCCAGGAGCAGCTGAGAATCCTTCCTCCAGGGAGCCTTCCCTAGCCTCCTTTCCTCCCTCTAACTCTCAGACATTGGAGACCGGGCCGGTCCTAAAGCTCAGTGTCATCTTTTCCCTTCCCCACTGACCCTCTCTGGGGACCCAACACAGGGGACTGACTCCAAGTCTAGCAGCCCTCACCTGCCTATGAGGATAGGGCTGTCCACATGGCCTGCCCAGGGCTTAGGGTTGAGGCAAGCCTGGGCCAGAGCTCCACCGTCTATGTGTGCAAACAACTCACTCGCCACACATTTATTACGCACTTGTGTGCTGGGCTCTGGGAGGGGTCAGGGAGGTGTGGTGGAGAAGGAAGCCATGGACACCAATAACCATGGTGTGCAATCAAAGGGCATCAGAGTGATTGGGGAGGAGGGGTTTGGAGACTGAAACAAGGCAGGCAGGTCACCCCACACTGTGGCCAGGGGAGACTGCATCTGAGCTGCTGCGTGGGGGTAGCAGGCTCCAGTAAAGACATCCCATGTTGGGCAAAGAGCCTAACAAGGAAATATTCAGGGCGAAGAGTGGGCCATGCAAGTGGACAAGCGAGAGATTTGCAAAGGAACCTGAGCTGGGAAAACACAGACCTTTTCTCCTCTGCCCCATTGTGTCAGTTAGCAATTTATTACCGCCCCTCAGCTCCGAAAGCACCTTTCAGTGTATGTTCCATGATAAGCAATGGGA